TGGATTGGATAGCTCGGAGTTCAATGGAACTTTTCACCTAGTGCTTGCTCGCCTCATTGCATCGATCGCTGTATCGTGTCACTTCAGCTGTGTCGTGCCATAAGATCCTTACAGCATGACACAATGCTGGTGAATGATGTCACTGTATAGACTGCATATGATAGGACCAAGTATAATAATGAGAGCTCTCAGTGGTTATGATATAACAAGATTCCGTTGTATAATCTAGCCATCTACCATGATTCCTGCTCCTCTCGTAGGTTCTGACAGAAGTGCATGGCATAACAGTATGGTAGATCATGGTAGTGATTATACCGCCTTTGGTAATTGAGCGGCCCTGGTGGATGGTGGGTTAGCCATTTTGAGTCATCATAGGCGCTTAGACTTTCGGACTGATCACCGCTGATTTTCTAGAATGATATGCTATATGTATCACTCAGTGGCAATGTAGAAAAATCCTCGTACCCGTAACGCACTCCAATGAGTTGACCATGCTAGCTTTGAATGGTGGCCACGGAGTTTGAAAGACATTTACTCCGAAGCCATGCTCTAGGCATTTCTTGAATCACATACTACGATGGTCTTTCATTATGAAGTCCACCCGGGGTTCAGGCTTAGGTCTCACACCGAACCTCCTTTGCTCGATTCAGAAGGGGTTATAAAGCTGAAGGTGGATGAAATCTTCCCATGATTTGCTATGGGAAAATGAAGTGTCCCTGAGTCTGCTAATTCCATGTGAACAGAAGGAAAGGGGCTAGTTTGCTATCGTGTTCATTTGCGAGAAATGCTTGGACCCTAGGTACATATATGCTGCCTTCTCTGCTTCCTCTCTGCTGGGTTGCTATGGATATCAAGCCGCAAGCCAGCTAATGCACACCATTTGCCAGGCTCTTAAAAGCTCCTCATTGAACTGTTCTATATACAGAATGAGTTAACGGTTCATCCCTCACAATTGTGTATATAGACCCAAATCCCAGTATTTGCGCCCCTTGCAGGCCCTCTTCCATTTCACAGCTCTTCAATCTCCACTTCGTTCTTTCTTTTATTTTTTGATATTTATCCATTCGTTACATCCTCCACTTCTTCATTCATTTATTCATTCCTTTTTATTCCTTCTTCTATTTCTTTATTTAATTTTCCATGCTTTCTTCCATTTATCTATATCTCTTCGTAACACCCTCGGCGCATTTTCGTGAATGCTGCTATCATTGACCAGAAATTAAAACAGGGCCGTAAACGACGTTGATTAGTGTTTTACAAAAGTAAGAACGATCTACCCGAAGCTTTGACACATGAACATCTTGGCCGAAGAGACCAGAACCGTTGTCGTTTGACTCTGTTTGCTGTGGAGGTTCTCGAGCAAAATCCGAGAAGACTGTTGGTGGATGACTTGGAAATCGTGTTCTGGATTTAACACCTTTTGTTCGTCCGTTTCAAATGATCTTGAAGGCCCTCTTCCTACTCGAAATCATGACCGTAAATGCTGCAAGCTTGAACATCACACACCCATGTCTCCTCAGACATATCCTAGTCAATTTGTTCCTCAGGTATACCTGTTTCGTTGTACATGTCAAGCTAAAGATGGCGTCAAAGATGTGCATCGACATCCTGGAGAATTAAATTGTTGATCGAACCATCGGCCTCATCATCTAATAGTCAAGCCAACATCAGAATCCATGTTTAATGAGTCGAGAAGTTATCGACGAAACTGTATACTGCAGGAGGTGTTAGAAGCACGTTAGTTACCTTCAAGAACGCCTCGGTCCACAGGTGTCTCGGTAGAAGAGGGGGTTCTGGGCCTTCCGGTTCATGATTTGGCCATGTAAAGCCGATTCCCATGCCAACCCTATCATGTACCCATCAATCCCTGTTGATGCAAAAAAAATGACGAAAGAAGCAAAAGGGAGCAAATTGGAGACAACTGGATGGTTACATGACTTGGAATGCTGAACAGAGCAGGTAGTTCTGTTGAGCGCGGAAAGTGAAAATGCAGACGGACAGGGCAGGATAAAATCGATCAAATGCGGCCAGTTTGGATAAAATATGTCGTTTTGTATTGCAGCCCCTGGATGCAGCATACTGTAATACTTGACTCCCAGGCCCCATTCGAACGACCGCTCTATAACAAGAATATCGATCTTTATAAAAGGGATTTTGATATGGGCTAAACCATAGCCATTCAGCTCTAGATGAAAAAGAATGTTCTCTGTATGTGTGGCTTTCTATAGTTCCTACGCTCGATGAGTATATAGAGAAAGGCACTAATCGATCTGCAAGTCTATGACCTTACGATATCCTGCTGGACATGCAAGATGATAAAGCACCAGTGCATTTTAACGCCTCTAGTGACCTTTCTGTGGGTTTGAGTTGATGATCCCAAGGAAGGTCCTGGAAATCACATGGGAATGGTTGGATCAGGGAAGAAACTATACCATATCATATCCCCAGGATAGGCCGGGTGAAGTCCGCCGACTGGTGTCATCTGTATCGATGTCGGAAGAACATGAGGCGATGGTCTAGGGGATTGACGAACCATTTGGCTGGAATACTCTCAACTATAAAGTGGAAGAGAATGGAAAATTCAGAAGAGTGGCTGCGAACAGAGATGACCAAGAGGAGAATCAGAAAAGATAATCGGCACAAAAACAGGGCATGGCTCATGGTTAATTAGCCACCCAGAGCTAAAGCTCTGTCCATGCTAGACTGAACAAATAGCTATATATTCCAAGTCAATCAAGTTCCAACCGTTGGCAGTGAGTTATCTGATGTTTTAAAACCTACCAGGTGATTAGCGTGGGAGAGCATTGCCATTGCTGTCACATGGACACGGCAGTCCAAGGAGAAGAAATATCCTTGACAGCTAACATATCGAATACCTGTGACACATGCCTGAGAAGGGCATATTTGATTGGTAGAGCCCGGGAAATATAAGGGGTACTAAGAATGAGTTAGATATCCTTGCCACGACGAGGAAAACCCCTGAAGATCCCAGGGAACCGCGAGGTGCTCATAAGGGCAAAAGGGTTTTAAAAAGGGAGCTACTTGAACACGATGAAGGATTTCTCTTGCTTTTCCTCTCCCCAACACAAGGACACTGAGGACCAAGATAGATTATTACACGTAGCACTTGACTTCGTTTTGCACCCCACATCGTCAGCGGCCATCATTTAACCCTTCGACCCATTATCGATCCCTGTCTGCACCAGATCAAGTCACCCGTTACAATTGCTATGTGGCTGCCTTGGTGCTCAGGCTTGCGGGATGATGGTGGGGGACGTCAGCTGTTGCCCGTATCGCGTCGCGTCTATGTCAATCCTGCCGAATTGGAAAATCTTCCAGCAGGTTGCGGTAGGATGGCAGTTTATGGCCTCTGGGGTGCTTGATCCAGGAGTTCCCTTCTGCTATTGAAAAACTCGACCCATTCTTTTTTTTTTTTCCAAAATGGGTCATGCCGACCGCCGCGTTCCTTACTACCGGGAGGCAGTGATCTTTCCTCTTTTGTTCAAAGGTGACGACCTCGCCTAGTCGGACCATGCGCCGGTAACAAGGCCACGCGAGCCAACACTTCCGCCGCCCGCAGACCGCATGGACTAAGAGGCTCTAGCAGGTTATTGAAAATTTCACTCTACCTACTGTCTGGCTGATATTCAGAACACTCTCTGCTTAGTCTGCCCTGTGGCCATTAATAAATTTCTGATGCGTTTTGAGTTAAAACACACTCTAAATTGCTATATTTGTGTCTTGCCTACAGTAGTTATTGACTGCTTCTCTCTCCAGACTGTAGTTTGCGTTTTCAATTCCCGTGGTTACAGCCTAAGAGCTTATTGTTTGAGCGGATGCCTTCTCGTTCTTTACTCCAGAGACCTTATTGCACCCTGGTAATAGGTTTGATGAAGTCTACTTGCACTGTGCACAATTAAATGCTTCTTTTGTTTCCTGCTGACCATCCTCAATCCACTTGCGCTGTACTTTCAACCATGCAACATGACCACTAGAGAGTATCTCAAGATGGCATCCATATGTTCGGATCAATCTTAACACTGTTCACTTGAAATCATTGTCTGTCTGGAGTAAATGGACTAAACAACGTTTCCGGCTGAACTACTATTGCTTTAATTATGATGTACAGCTAATTTATAATTCGGTTAGATCCCAAGGCCATCCATCCGATGTACAAAAGGGTAATTCATGAGTTTGGCATACAGATGTTATGCCATACACAAGAGTTATATCTGGCACAAGGTATATTAACTGGCATGTGTTCGATTATCCATATACATGCCGTATGCGGGGGTCCCCTTATTACGAGAGAGATCTTAAACACAATGCCCTATTTGGCAATCACTTGAGGAACCGAGAGCACAAGGTATGTATTAATGATACTATCAGTTACTGGGCTCTAATTGTTAGTCACTGACGTGCATTGTAGCTATTGTTACAAAAACCACCACAGCCAACACTTTCGGACAACATGGACAACGGACCTTTCGGGCCGATCAAACATTTTCCGCAGCTCCCAATGGAGTTATATACTCACCCTTCCCAAAACTGAAGAACTCTCGCCCCAGGACTCTCTCGGAGAGGAGATAGAGGAGAGAGAGGACGAGCGCATGCCGGTGAAACGCCGGCTCAAAACTCTTCCGTGATCATGCCGAAGAGATTCGGATGAGATCTTCGCTGAGTTGAAATCCGCTTCAATGTTGCTCTGTTAGCTTAACACTAGCTTAAACTTTATACCACGGACGGGACATAGGACTAAACCAAGTCACTGGTGGCTACTTTTAAGTGGCTATATATTATAGAAATGTGACAGATATATTGTTATCTACAGTGCTCCTGAGAAAGAGGCACGTCTCGAAGTGAAATATGTACAAGAAGAGTTTAAAGCAGGTTGTTTCTCAGATGTATAAATCCGCTTTAATCCACTTGGTGAGTGGATTTTGATAAGCAGAGACTTGAATTCCGCTCTTCTCACCGCCTTCCGGTATCTCCGCTTCCGTTCAGAACGGAGGGTTGGCATTGATGAGCAGCTGTTCGAAATAAGCCTGGAACCATTGGCCAGCCTCAGGCGCCGGAGTCAGTGCGTCGGAAAGGCCGCAGTGATAGTCATAACGAGCAGCGCTGGTGTCGCTGGTGCCGTCGGACTCGCCACCGGGCTTGACCCACACGAAAGCATCAACAAGTTCATGCCCAGTGTTAGCAGTAGGGCGCACACCGAAGCCAGTTCCCTTGACATTGCACCAGTGACCCCATTCAAGCTGGCCAGTGGGCTGCTTGCCGTTACGGCCGGTGTCGACGATGAACTTTGCGTCGAAGCCCTGGTTGCGGAGAAGAGGAGCAAAGGCCTCAATATAGTGCTTCTCGTCGTAGTTCGGGTTAGGAGAGGTGTAGGACGGAGGGCTGGCGATCGACCAAGCATTGTAGTTGGCAACGTTGGTCTTGATTATGTTAGCAACTGTAGTTCTAAGGGTCGTGGTCTCAAGAGTTGTCTTACCGCAAGACCGCGGACAGCAGCGGGCCTGCCAGCGTCGCGGTAGATTTGAGCAAAGAGCTCAGCAGCAGGCTGGATGTTGGCGGGCCAGCCAAGCCAGCCAGCGTGGCCAGCATCCATGTACATGGCAACGTGAGGAAGATTGAGCTGTTTGAGGGCATAGACAGTAAGCTCCTTGTAAGTGGAGGCAGCGTTCGAGCACTTCTGGACGTTCATGTTGGTGACCATGTTGGCCAGGGAATCAGGTTCAATGACCAGAATAGTGCGGATATCGGAGTACTGGATAAGGAGCTCACGGATCCGGTCGATGTAGCGCTTGTAGTTGTTGGCACCATTGTTGGCGATAGACCACTCGCCGTTCGAAGCAGCAGCCGCGCAATCACGGTCTGGTAAGTCATAAACCACGAAAATGCCGGCTTTTTTTAGTTAGCATCGGAACAATTCAAAATGTTCAAAAATGAGATCAGAGATAGTGAGGGGTGACAGAAGAGTTCATATGCTATAAGGGTTAGGGTTGCAAGCAACCCCACAAAATCTGGGTTCCACCATAGTGGGTCTCGGGTTTTTGAATGTGCTTACCATAAGGCGGGTTGGCACCGCGCTGGTTGGCGGCGCGGATTTCGGCAAGAGTGCCGGAGAAGAGAGTGTCAACAGTCACATTGCGGTCGAGCCACTGGAAGCTGGGAACCTCAGCGACCTTGGCGGCCTTGGCAGCCAGCTCAGGAGACAAGCTGGGGATGGCCAAAGTGTGCACCTCGGACGAGTAGTAGGTGTTGGCCCAAAGTTGGACACCCGAGAACGGGTTGCCGTTGTAGCTGGCCGTGCTCGAGGCGCCGCCCGGGATGGTGGTCGTCGGGGGAGCAGTCGTCACAGGGGTATTCGAGGTGGTCGGGCGGACCGACGAAGTGCTGGTGGTGCTGGTGCTGGTGGTCCGAGCCGTGGTGCTAGTCGTGCCGGGCTGAGCCTGACCGGGAATGCACTGGCTGTACCAGTCATTCAGGTAAGTGCAAACACTGCCGGACTGGCAGCAGGTCGGGCCGTTGTAATTGATGCCACCGCATTGACCCCTGAGACACAAACATGTCAGCATCAGCATCCATGATCGAGCAGATCCCGAATACTCAGACCCGGGGTTGAGACATACCAGACGGAGGAGCAGCTCTGGCGCTCCTCAAGGAGAGGGGCAGCCAGCGAAGTGGCCGCAAGAGCGGCAGTGAGCAGCAGCTGCTTAGCCATGATGAACTTCTGACAAAGACGACCAAGCTTGTCTTGACTCTGTTGTGGCTGTTGGAGCTGGGAGATGGGAAGCTCTCGAGAGCGAAGATACGCCCTCTTTTATGGTCCAAATGACTGCGGCCTCTGGTTACCTACGCATGAGAGCGGTGTTCAAAGCCGGAACAGCCGGAGCGCTGAGCCGTGAGATTCGCATCTAAGCAGGACGACAACCGCCCTTCGAGCAAGTGAACCCCCTAACTTCCGTTCTTGGCATAACGCTCGAGCAGCGCCAAGTTCAGGCAAAATCGTGGGGATGCGGCGGCTACACAAGGAGCGACGTCCCGCGAAGGACTGGAAGAACCTGTCGAACCCCTTTGCAGCCCCATGGCGTGCCTGGTTTCGTTGATTGACCAAACGGCCAGATGCGACCCAAGACAGGTGAGAGTGGAGCAACAAACTGCAAAACCGAGCCGTCGACCCTTTGTTTCCCGTCTGGGAGAACCAAAGACAATCTCCGCAGACCGGGTCAGGAGGAAGGCCAAGAGCATGGAACCGGGTTACGGTCGGCGTCCTTAATTGACGCGTGGAGGGCCAATTCTCGGAAGCCAGGTTCCTGGATAACCTTGATGGGAAGGGCGCGGCTCTTGCTGCGGGGTGGATGGCGAGGACAGGGGCCGTTGCATCGTTGGGCGTGCCGAGTCTGGGCGGAAGAAATGGAAGATCATTCCGGAACATTGTTGCATTCTCGGTTCTTGGCTCTGCCCACTGGGGAAATTGGCGGGGCCGCCCACGATGCTCGAGAGAATACAGTCAATGCGGTTCTCCGACCAGAAGCTCCCGGAAGCCCAAAGAAGAAGCGGAACAAATGAGTGCAGCTCGTCACACGACGTCGCGGCACGTCTATGCCACCGGCGGCCCGTCTACAGCTCTCACTTTGACATCCAGCCTCTAGCTCAACTATCCGACTACTACGGTTCCTCGCTTCCTGCCTATCAATTGTCCGAATCAAACACTACGCTAAGTCTACCTTCCAAAACATCATCAAGTCCACCTCGGATCTGCTCCGCGAGCTCACGACTGTGGAACATAACACCCAGTTCCTGGCTCGTATACCAGCTGGCTCGGTCCATGTTCCCCGAGCCAAGCATGACATACTCGTCGTCAACGATCATCAACTTTAAGTGCGAATGAACGGGCTCCTCGCTGTCAGCGCTACTCGACACTGCATGCGCTCCTGACTCGTCATGGTAGACAGAGTCTACGGGATGTGACCGAGAGTGGAAGTACGCGACTCGAAGCCGCCCAGGGCAACTAAGCCTAGCCTCAAGTTCGCCAACTTCTACGCTGTCGCTGTATCTTGCTTTGATCTGACCGTAACGACGAATTAGCGACCGGAGCGACCAAGCCGTGATGGTCCCGGCGGTGAGAAGCTGCTCGAAGATCATCATATGGCGGTTCGTCACGACGGTCACATCAACCCCACGCTCAAGGGCCTCCAGCAAAGCGATCACCACCGGCTGAGACGTAAGATTTGGGGTCTGGACGTAGATAGACTCCCGCGCCGACTCGAACAGCTGGAGAAGCGCCGCATTGAGCGGTGTCGCAGGAGGCGCAGGGTAGCTCTGCCAAGGTAACGGACGAAATCGTGGGTTACGGTGATGAGGAGATGGCAACACGAACGTGAGGATCGTCGCGGACAAATTGCGAAGAACGGCCTTCCAATGGGCAGTGCTTCGAACCAATATTGAACTTGACTGACCAATATCAGGAAGTTGGTTCTCAACTCCCTCAGACCCAGGATCATAGGAAAACTCAAGAGTGTCTCCCCATGTCAAGACGAAGAAGGACAGCAGCCCTTTCAGAGCGTCACCAGTGATCTCCACGCACCCCTCAAGCCATGGTTCCCAGCTTATGTTGCAACTCGGGATAAACGCTCGTTTCCTGTCGACGATGATGTACTTCGGATGCATCACACTGAATGGAAGAAAGAATAGACTCTTGACCTGCAGCTTGATTCTTCCAGCCTCGAGCAGTGCCGGCTCAGGTAGGCCAAGTTTGCTGGACCATGACGAAGGGGGATAGACGTACCCACGGCGCGACTGAGGATGCAGCAACTTCTGAAAGAACGAACGTGACGAGAAACATATTCGAATAGTTAGAGACGGAGGGGCAGGTTTCCCTCTAGTGACTGCATCATTGATAAACGCGCGGCGGTGTTCAGCAAGCGCTTTCAGGGCGTCGCACAGAGCCGTCAAGGTCGCAGATGGTGCCCAAAAACACGTTACGAGGATGACCTCGAACTGAGCTGATATGATGGCAGGAATCAAGGTGCTGGTGAAGATAGAAGCCCCTGTGCCGAGCTGGAAAGTCTCTGGTTTGCTGCGCGTTACAAGCAGGTTGCGAACGGACGCGTCGTTCAGGTCGTAGATGGGTAGTTCATTGGTGCAGACGCGGAGTCGTGGAACGCTAGCACATTGAGTCTTGTCCACCAGGCCCTTCAGGAATTCATCGCGAAAAGCTTCAGTCATATTGATGCCTTCACCTTTAAACCCTAATGATCTGACGAGCAGCGTGTATTGGCAAAAGATTTGGAGTCAGTTCAAGCGTCGAATTACCTGGGCACAGAATACATTTGACTATGAAAGATTCTTTTTAAAATACTTTTTAGGTACTTGATCGGCCATAATGTTAAGAGTGGTTAAGAGTACCTTTTGTAACACTGGCGTTCGGACTGTCCTTCGTTTGGTCAGGTGTCTGCCGTTTGCCAAGGAAACATCCCAACCAAGAGTCACGGGACCATTTCGATCAACGGTTGCCCAGACGCTGGCCCACAGGTATCGGGAGGAGCCGATCGGTAAACAGCTTCGGTTTGTCAGGCGGGGTCATCTGAAGCTGGACAGCTGTCAACAGCCGACTGAACCCCTGCTTCCCCCGCAGCGAGCAACTGCCGGAACCACAATAGTTCTGTCGCCCAGGTTATCAGAAAAGGTGTGCCACACATTTGAAAATTGTGGGTACGGGCCAGGGAGTGTCGAAAAAGGTCAAAGTTGGCCTATGATGTATTGGCCGGCGCAGGGGGCTCAGGGGCTGCGCGCCCAAGCAGCCCTCTGGGCAAATATCCTCACCATCGCCAAAGCCAGTCCGTCCTACGAGACTATCTTCTATCAAGGGACGGCCTGGCCGATATGATCTTAAGATACTTCATCTGCAATGGTGGATGGATGGATTCAGGGATAGTCTAGAACTAAAGCGCTAAGTCTGGTAGAGTAACTTTGTGATTTACGACTTACGCTTAGTGACTTATCTCGTTGAGCATGTCGATGCTATTATGACTTTTTTTCGTCTTATTGGATAGTAGATCACTTATAGTAACAGCACAGTCACTGAGCTTTAACCGCGATCCCTTAACGCAGTTCCCCAGAGTACAATCCTTCGGTTCTTACGTAATATATTTTTACCTTAGCTTCCAATTTGTGGTGAGTCAGCTCAAATTGGCTTGTTTTCCTGTGATTCCTCTCTAGTTCTTTGTCTTCTTCCTTTTCTTTACTTTCGCTTCTTTATCTCTTGCCTTACGAACTGCGAAAAGGAATGAGATGACACATGGCTAATAATATCTTCTCAGACTACTGAAAACGGGTACCATGGACATCGATATACTTCTGTCTGCAGAGCACTCGAGACTAACAAACAGTTCGAGGAGGACCTACTCCAGTTTCCTTGTACTGGCCTTGCAAAGGAGGGCTGTAAAGGAAGACCACAACAGGGACTATTCAAATACGTATGTACTCGCTCGAACTTCCAATCATGACGAGTTACCCTTTCAAATCACATAATCGATTGTTGAACCAATCCATCCATCCACCATTGCAGATCAAGCATCTCAAGACTATATCGGCCAGGCCGCCCTTGATGGAAGATGGTCCTGTGGCCCGTAGGAGGAACTGACGTTGGAGATCGTGAGGATACTTACCCAGAGGGCTGCTTGGGCGCGCAGCTCCTAAGCCTCCTGCGCTGGCCAATACACCATGGGCCAACTTTGGCCTTTTTAGTGCCCCCTGGCCCGTGGCCCCAATTCTCAAGTGTGTGCCACCCCTTCTCGTGACATAGAGCTAGTTCAAAGGCTCTTGATGTGGTCTATCATGCAAGGCCTGCTGCCCATAAGATTCCCCCATAGAGTTGCCCTAAGAACCACTCATCTTCATACGCCTGATCAAAGTGTCCGAGAGAGGTGTAGAAACACCGGCCGCCATCAAAGATCTGACACCAGGCAATGGGGTGGTCCACCCCAAGCTGCCCACCAGCGTACGATTGTTCGTCCACACTTAGGAGGACACGAATGCCTTTTGACGCTTCGCGTGGATGCTTCTCAAAGTTGTACCACTCATCGAACCACACTCTTCCCGATCCCTGAATCTGATGCTTTGTCGCCGAGGTCTGTGACTCTGAAGCACCTATCCCGGGCAGGCGAGCAAGCATGATCGGATGCTCACCATCAACAAGTCTAACCTCGCCAAGTTGTGGCTCAGGATGATTGTCAAATACACCGCCAATTAGCTGCCCGTACCACTTTGAAGACTTCATCGCAAAGCTTGCGCAGTGGACGGCAACAACGCCACCACCAGATCGAACAAAGGTTTTCAAAGCATCCAGTTGGTTGGGGTTAAGAAACTCGCCAGAACACTGGAGCAAGATGATGACCTTGTATGCTGATAAAGAGGAAGGGTTGAAGATCTCAGCATCTTCACTAGCGTCGGCTGTGAAACGTGGTAGTGGAGACGATGCTGAGTCCTCAGCAAGCTTCTTCAGCGCGCGAATGCCGGCGGGAATCGATATGTGCCGGTAGTCAGCAGTTCCACTGAAGATCAAAATTCTGAATGCGGGCATATTTACGGGCGAAATGTGAACTGCGTATCTTATTAGGCAGGTTGATTTAGTGGTTTGTCTGAGGAGAATTCGAGGTTCTCTTCACCAGATAACCAGCAGCCCCACTTAGCCTGAACATCAGTCCGGACCGTGGTTTTCCAAAAGACTGAAAATATATTTACACTTCCACGTCTTCTTCTATTCTTTTCTCTATTTATTCTTTTCTTTCCGTATTTTTTCCATTTTCCCTTTGTTTATCATTTGTAGCGACTTGTTAGCTTCTCGTATGGTATGAGTACACCTGTAAAACTCGTTAGATCGTAAGTTGACTTTCGTACTAGTTGACATATGTTAGCTGGTTGTAAGTTAGATTCCAAGTTCGTGAGAGCTCGCAAGTTAGTAAGTTCATATTTGTATTCTTTCATCTAAGATGTCGTTTGGAAGCTTAGCACTTTGCGACGTATGCTCGCAGCGGTTGTCCCATGCGCCATGCCACCGCAGCTGCTACAAAGCTTGACAAATACAAGATGAACTGCGGAAGCCTGATTCGTATTGTTGCACCTAGCGAACATAATGATGTACCTAAACCAAAATCCAGCAAATTGCCCACCTTACCAGAAGCATGTATCTGTCATTAGCAGTTAAATCCATAAGCACTCTATAAGAGAAGAAAAGACTTGCGAAGAGAGATGAAGCCATCAAGTCCGATCGAAATTACATGCGGATCCGGAAGAGATAGCGCAGGCGAACCTGCGCAACGTCGTAGCAGATGTACTCATTGTACCAAAGGCTAGCATCCTTGACCTTGGTGTCACCAGGAGGAACCGAGGTATCGGGCTGTATTTGGTTTAATCAGCGAAACTCCTGCCGGAAGAATACACGGTTGGGACTCACCATCATCACCCCTTCCAATGACGGGTGCACACAAGCTGCTGACTTCCACTTGAGGGGCCCAGTACGACCTTTGCCCCATGTTGCAATCATACCCTTTTGCTTGGCAGTTGTGGCTGCATTATATGCAGCATTTATGAACTCTTGCATGGGATCTCCAAGTTCTGCTTCACACAGGAGAAGCAGTGCGGTCCCTCCGGAAAGATAGGAATGGCAATAGTTGGCCGATTTCGATGACATATCGGCAAGATAAATACCCTTGTCAAACATATAGCCAGTAGAAGGAGCCTCCTAAATGACGTTTTAAAGCGAGCAGCGTTAGCTTGATGACGATGAGAGCGACGGATGATTGCTGATAAAAGAGAAGGGATGAGAATAAAGGACAGAACGAGTGGGCCACAAACATTAGGGCAAGGGTTAGGGTTCAACTATAGGAAGGTGCAACTAGGCCACAAGGTGCATGTGCTCCAGCATCGTATATGTGGATAGGGAGGATGAAGGATGATGGGAATCATACGTACCGGTGGTGCGATTCGGAGACCTTGGCTGAGAATACCTCCAAAGTTTGTAACACGAGACCCATGCCATAGCAAACGACGATTCTTCTTCATCTTGCCGAAGAGGCTGTTGTCGAATCGTTCGTGTTCACCCTGGCGCTCAATCCTAAAGATCTCCTCAATGCGATAAGAGTGGCCGTGCGTAACACCGCGGCTTTCGTTGAGATAGTTCTGAAGCTGAATGAACTCTTCGCTCGTCGGGTCAAGAGGTGTCATTTCCTTCATGTTCAGACCGCGGTACTGCCTCTCAAGCGGATGTATATCGTCCTCAACGGTCTTTTCCAGTTTCATCAGAAGATCCGCATCTTTCATGTCGCTCAAGCTCTCTAGAAGCTCAACTTCTTTTTTGATCATTTGCCGATCCCTGATCACTGGGGGACGGTTGCGACCGAAGGCATGCGGAATGATAGAATAGAAGGAGTTGGAGAGTTGTTCAATTGCTTGAGGGAAAGGCTGACCATAGTTTGAGGCCAATGACGGATCGTCAATGAGATTTGACAAGTCCTTAAGTACCTGGAAACCGCGACTGATAGTTGCCTTGCTGAGTTTCCCGAGCGGCAGCTTGTTTGAATCATAATTTAAAGAAGCCATGGTCGCAGCAAAGTACTGGGCGTTGAAGATGAGCTCCATCAGTCGTTGAACAGCAGGGTGGAGGGTACACTTGGGAGGCTCCCGAGCAATCTTCCCGTTTCCGTTACCCTCCTTTTTGACCTTGGCTTCATATTCCTCATCGGAGTCGTCCTCATAGTTGCGTTCGACAAAGGCGTACTTGCCAGGCTTCGGATTCTCGCCACGCTGGCTCCAAGCAAGACCCGACTTGTCCTTGAACTTTTTCTCGAACTGCTTCAGAGCATTCTCCTTGGTACCCTCAGCGGCGACCTGTGTTTGGCCGCGTTCGCCAACACGACCCCAGCGAGTCCAGGTTCTGAAAGTGCCAGACGGGTCAACGAGGACCTATGGGGAGCATTAGCGACGAAGGCAAATCTACCAGGATAACAATTCACCCACCTGAATGCGGTAAAATTTGTTATTATTCTTTGACGCGTCCGTCTTGTTCAATGACACATCATAGATGACACCATCATCGTCGATGTAAACCTTGGACGTGATATAGGGGCAACCCTCATCGAGGGGTACTTTGAGATCCTTGCTCTTAGCAATCTGTCCTTCGCCAACGGCCTTTTCAGCCTTCACCTTCTCATTCTTCTTCTCGGAATCGGCGCCAGCAGCGTTGTCGGCGTCTTTCATCTCAACATCTTCGTTCTTCATGTCTGCCTTCTCGACCTTGGCAGCCGCATTCTTTCCCCGCGTTCGCTTGGTCTTGGGAGCCGCAGTATCCTTATCATCTGAAATGTTCGCATCATCGGAAGAACGCTTCCTTGACTTTGTTGCGGCAGTGTCGGAACCATCGGCCTGTGAGTCCTGAGCGACAGGCTGAGCAGAAGTACCATTTTGTGCCGGGATGACAACACCCGGGACATAGTCTTTCTCCGTTGGCTTAGCGCTATTCTTCTCGCAGGTCGTAAGCCATTCCATGCTCACAACAGGAATGCCGAGGGAAATGGCCTGCATCACTTTTGGTTCGCGCTTGTTGTAATGGGCCTCGGTTGCAATGAGATGAGTGGTGTCGTTGGTTACTGTATTTGAGACAGTCGCTCCAAGCGCCTCTGCCTTGGCCTTGAGAGCAGCTTGCGATACAACGCGAAACGCACCGCTAAATGCGAGCTTGCAGCCTTCGAGAGGAGGTGGCTGCGGCGCGCCCTTCTTACCTCGTTTTGGCGGCATTGTTTTGTCCTAGTTAACTTGAAGTTGGAAGGAGAGAGCTGAAATGGTTAAAGAGAAAGAACACTCAAGGAAGAGTGCTTCAGTTCGATCAAGATAAGCAAAACTGAAGGGTCAGACCGCCAGACGCTTGGGCAGACTCTCTTGGTTGGCTCTGAGGTAAGCTATGGATGTCGATCGAGGAGAGAAGCGATTGAAGAGTTAGAGGGCGCCAAGAACGGTGTGACTCCAGGAACTACGATCTGGTGCTGGGGGTTCAGTTGATCGCGCTCACCCACTACCCTCTAAATAGCTCAAGAGCTAACAAAGTGCGCCATCAACTCAGACCGCGTCGAGCAGGCAACAACGCCCAAAAGCCAGGGGTATCGCGCGTTGACACGGGACTGGCCCAGGCACCAAGCCGCTAAGAAGTGTGGTGTTCCACAAGCAGTTAGGCAGCCACAGCGTCTCGCACATCAGCCCTGCAGAAGCGAAATTTCGGACTTGAAAAATCCCCAACATCGGCTCTTGCTGCACCCCTCATCGTGCTCTTTTAGATCACAGCGAAGGACTCCAAATGCTGGAGAGTTGTGTCATCCGCTCATTCTCCGCTCTGCCCTGCATAGGTGCTGCGAACCAATTTGTTAGTGGGATAGGCAATGGTTAGCAGTAGCATAAGCTGCCAAGCCCAAATTTCCATGCGCTTCTTAGCTGATGGATCGCCACTCAGCTGCTGGCTTGATTGATGACCCTCATGATTCCCAACCAACTCTCGAGTTCGCATTCAGCAATGGAACCTGTTCATGGAATGTTTCTAAGAGCTCCCGACCACCATCTACGCTGCCGACATGGCTGATGCAAGGTGTTGTTGGACCTTTGTACACAATGTCTTCTTGCAACACCATACGAACCAGGATAACCTCGGCTAGGAACCAGGAAGAATCCTAGCGCCTTGGCACGTTCCATTCCTTGGGAGGCAACTTGTTTTGGCACTACGGCCAGATTGCCGACACCTAAACAGGTAGATAGGATCCAGTGATGGTGTATGTTGCTCTACCGAAACTAAAAGGACTGATTCTAAGCGAAACTATGACCTTTGCGCAATTGGACGCAAGTAATAGCGCTCTTACTCCCCATTTGGTCTGTACCACATCTCCGTTCTTTCTAAAACTTACATCCACTCATTCTTCCAATCTTCTTCAGACGAACACTTTTCTGCTACTGCATTGTTTGCTCCATCAGGACAGGATCATCAGAGGTTGAGTTTGACAAGGTTAGGTGGTTTTGTCACCCTTGCCCTAGAAACTTGGACACCAGATGACTGGATAGCATCGCTCCCTATGGGCATCGAATTCGTCTGCTTTGTTTCTCGCTTTGCTTTGCTTGCGAAAACTACCGAGTTCCGGATTAGGTACAGACACTACAATGGCTGTGTGATATCAATGGTTCTTGCTTAAGCCCATCATAGGAGCTATTTTGGGGATCCTCCTCATGACTGCTGGTACCTTCATGACCATCTATATGCTATATATTTATTGTATGATACTGATCTTAGTTTTCAACCTTTTCCATGATAGGCCGAAGATATGCAGCTGTCAGTCGTTTTGCGGTGAACCAATCCCATAGGGCTGAGACACTTGGGTGCCAAGGTGTGCCAAGACTGCGGCATTTGAAGTTGGGGACTTGGTGGCACCCACACCCACATGGCGCCATGTAGCCATTCTGCGGGTACCGTACCCGAGAACAACTCCAAAACACACCTCACTGTCGCCACTGGGTAGAAAGGTAGAATAATACAAAGGAACTGCGATTGGTAAAGTTTACTGGTCTTTCCTTTGTGCTAATTATCTTTTCATATACAAACATAACTCGAAAGTGAAATTGGATCGGTGGCTGTTCACACTTCCTAGGCGCAGTCACAGCCTGGAAAGCCCACTGCTGGATTTACGATAACCAAACTTACAATCACTCTTGATTTCCTCCTAGTTGCACTGGATAAGATATTATGAGGTCTGAATCTGTTTCTTACTCGTTGCTGCCAGTGATGTTTCCGAGTCTTGCATTGCTTAATAAACAATGGCCGACTGCAGGGATGCAAACATTGATGATGCCGCTAATGGAACTGGTCAAAGGCAAATTGGAAGCTTCAGAAAACAGCCAATTAGAATTCGGGAAAGTAGGGGAAGGTGGGGGCAGTTGTTTGTTTAAGCAGTAGGCGTAGGATAAATGTCAGAACATCAGATCAAAAACCTCATCGCTGTGGCAGCCAGGCACAAAGGCGCACACCTGCGAAATGCAAACATGCATTGACCAACCCAACTCCCAAAATGACTTCTGCTCTCCCTTCGCTCTCTTTTTCAATTTCTTTTCCATATCTTTTCGTTTGCTTTGATCCTGCATGACAGTTTTCCCCTACAAGAGACGGAGTCTCTGGCGTTATTTTTTATAAAAGAGCATTCGGCGCATATGCTTCGCCTCGCTCACCTCTTCTCGCGCTGTCCCTGCTTTCATTCTCTCCGCTCTTCTGCTCTCCTTTCCCGCCCTATTTTCCCACCCCATTTTCTCTTCATTGCCGACCAATCTCCCACACCCTGACCGACGCTCGAGATGACAATAATGTCACCATGTTCGGTATCTTCTCTCTGCTTAGCCTGACTTCGGCCCTGGTCGACCTCTAATTTCTCATGGAGCAGAAGGCCATCCAAAATTTGCCATTTTTTCAGTTTCTCAACATTTTTTCCTTTCTTTCCCTGTCCCTGCCACAGCCTCTGTGTATCTTCAGCGTGGTAATTTTTCCCGTTTTTGCTCATTGTGCTTATCCCAGCATCACGCATCTTTCTCAAGCCGGCTCCATGTCATTTGTGATGGAATCTCCAAGTCTGGCCGTATTTAGCATTATTTCGATGTGCTTCCGATGGCTCTGATCAGATTTTTTTTATCTGTGCTCTTATAGCTTATGTCACTGACCCACTGCGTTTACCTTGATGAACAAGTCTGGACTCTGCGCCACTCTGTTGCGGAGAACAAGCATCGCATTTGCCAAGCACAAGAAATGCTCATCAAGTAGAAGCAGGTGCTGCTGGAGCTCAAGGGCGGGATCGCGGTGCATACACGTGAGCAGACTTGACAGCAGTCAGACTTGGAGGAGCTGAAGCGGTTTCACCATCTCAGCCCTTCGCTCAGCGCTCTTCTGCATAAAGTCATCCACACTGTCCTCCTAATGTTGACAACCCTTTGCTAACATCTTGCATACAGTGCTCTCACGCCATGCCCACTGTCCAGGAAGTCGGCCGGCTTGATGGAGTCCCATCCTAGTGGAACTGGAAACCTGAAGCTCTTCGAAATGAGCTGGTCCAGAAAGAGGCTCCAGAGCTCTCACTGCATTCAGCGAGAGTTTCCAGCACCTTTCTCGTCATCCGTGGGGAGGACCAAATGGATCCCGCTCCTCTTCAGAAGCACATCCTTGGGTGCTATGAGGCTCGGGAGAAGGTTTTGGGTGTGTTCTCCGCACCGGAACTTTCAACAACCCCTCTGGTGCCCATCGAGCTGGAGCAGGCTGAGGTCTGCCACTCTGGGGTGTTGTCCTTGGTTTCCACGCCAATCTCAGAGCCTGCTGAGTTGGCCACCGAGCCTGAGGTGATCGATATCAGCATTGTGGACGCTCCAAGCTTGCTCGACAAGGAGCTTCCTGTTGTCCTCTCCCCCGTGATTGGGGTTAAGTATGATGAGCCTACAGCCGCGGCTCCATTTGTGGACGAGCTTGGCACTGTCATGGTCGACGCTGTTGGTTCCCTTTCGTTTTCTTTGCGTTGATCATTGGCTAACACATACGCAGCCACATCTCGGGTCTGGATCTCCAGTGCCTGCGGCCCAGCCCAGCCTGGGTAAGATAATCGCTACCCTTTCGCTCCTCATGTCAACTTCCCACAGTGTCTGCCGCTGCCGGAGACATTGTGCCCATGGACGGAGGGGTCGAGCAAGGAGTTGAGCCCGTCGAAGTAAGGTGTAAGTTTTCCCCTTTTCTTCTCCCAGCAAAGATTCGCATGCTGATATCATATCCACAGCAGCCATTTATGAAGGTCATCTCTGGTAGCTTCGAGCTGCCTGTCGCTACCGAGCCGAGCGCTCCGACTGAGTTTCAAACCGTCCCGCCCGCGGTTTCTGCCGTGGCCAAAGAGACTCTCAGCTCCCCCATCCCTGAGCAGCTGCTACTGTCGTTCCCTCTTACACCCCAGCAGAGAGGGGCAGCTTCTGCAGGAGCAACTTGACAGCAACAGCAGTAAGAAGCGCCAATCGAACAGCCAGAGCTGAGTCTAGGTCCTGTGTCCACTGAGACTGCGACCCAAGATGCCCCGGCATCGATGGCTCCCGAGGAGTCTGCCGAGCCCGCATAGGATGAGCTCCAGATCAGCTTCGAGTTCGAGGCTCCGAACACGGCGACTCGTCCAGCCGAAGCCCCAGCTGGCCAAGCTGGAAGCTCGGGAGTTGGCAGTTGAGGACTTTGCCTGTCCTTCGCCGCCTGAGCCCACATCGGCATCGTCATTGTCCGCGCCGGTCCCCCGGAAGCAGGAGTGCAAGACTTCAACGGTCAAAGATCCCTCGCCTGCCCCGGCTGGCACTTCTCGCCTATCGACTGAGGAGAAGGGCAAGGGCCGCTCTCTGCCGCTAGCAGAGGAGCCGCCGTTGCCTGGAACCTGACCGACACCAAACGACGAGGAGATACCTGATTTCTTAGTCTTCGACTCCGAGAGAATCGAGAAGTGGTGCCAGGCTTGGATCGACAACCGCGTCGCCTTTATGCGGGGCTCTTCGCTCTGCGGCAACATGTTCCAGGGTTGGGTCACCAACCAGTCCAGAATGTCCAAGATTTATCTCCGCTAAGATTTACTGGGGGAGCATGATGAGCTGTTTTATGGCGATTACGCCGCCTTTGTGGAGCGGTTCTTTGTCCAACAATTCAACCGTTAAATGGATGGCCCGACTAAGCTGGGCGAGGAATGAGTGCTCCGGCACCTCTCTGAGCTTGCTTCCAGGGAAGAGAATTTCATGGGCCCCATCTTGCTAAATTGAATGTTGGACTGTCATGAACTTGGAGCTAGTGCTTGGAAGATCTTGATTTCGGGTGAAGAAGGTGTACACAGATGGATGGATGGATCTGGGGGATTACTTGGTGCTGATGGTGTGTGGATTGAATTGTCATGTATTATTGATACTGTACTGTTATAGGTTTGGCGTTCGGGCGTTGGGTTCTGGTTTGTCTTCCTGTTTTTCTTTTTCTTTTTTTTAGGTCCGTTGTTTGTGGTGAGTAGCATGGTGTTTGGGGGCGGTGGGCGGATTCTTCTCTTCTTTATACATCTTTTTCTTGCTCCGTTTAATTTTAACTCATGTGATTTGATATCTTGATATTGCTGCTCAAGGCATTACCTGTGTTAGACTGTGTCCAAGCGAGGACAACGGTGATACTTTCTGGTGGTGAGTGAAGTTGAAGCTTCTATGGAAATCTATGGAAACCCCACGAACCCTTTGCTCGCCTACTCTTCACTTATCCTAAGAAACATTCTTCAGCGTTATCAGGGTTCGGATTCTATTCAATCTGGGTCTACAGAATTTTTTTTCTTTATGCATCGCAGTCACTCCTTCTGCCCCCCTTGTCCATGTTCTTCACCTCAGCCCCTCCTTAGCGTAGCTAAGTTACCCGAGAAAAAAAAACCAACAGCTAAAGGACCTACCGATTCTCAAGTCAGAAGCGGTTAAGGAGGTTTCTTTTCATAAGCTCCCGATGGCGATCATATTATGAGGAGGATGATCGTCCTGACAGAGACGTTGGTGAAGGAGACGCAATATGCTCGATTCTCGTGGGCATGTGTGGAAGTCATGTTGGCCGTTGGCATTCTGAGCCCTTGGCACCCGCAAACTTGGCGTCTTGGCCTTTGGATCGCTCACACCACGCCACTTGCATGCGGCGGCCTGGCAGCATCCACAGCGCCAAGAGCCAACGGACCGCGTCCCAGCCGGCAGGCTGGCAGCACGGCCATTTGATCCACTGACAGTATGCGGTGGGCCCGAGCAGTTTTCGTCAGGACCGGGAACGACAGAGAAGCCGTGTGGAGCAAACCCAAGAGTTCCCCACAAATCGAAGGGCCTGAGCAAGTGAGAGCCCGAGGTGAGCAGCGTGCGGAAAGCGAGCAAGGGAGGTTGGTCGGCGACCAGGCAGGCAGGACCAACTGACGGACGACTTGGACCTGCATCCCATCACAACAACGACAGGCCTCTTTGAGATCGCCAGAGCTGAAATGCCTGCAAACTGGAGAACAGGCACATCATCTCATCCGTATCCATCACCAGAAAGGCAAAGACAGAGAGACGCACACGACGTGGACGCAAAATTGGGCTCGACGGGGGCGAATGGGAGTGTGTGTGGCTGCAGGACCTGCGATGACCCAGCCGGGCTATTGCAGACGGGATTTCAGATATCATACACTGCTTGATTGGCCATCGACCCTTATTCACGCCCGCTTATACTCATAGCTCATAGCTGCTTGTTGCTTTCCTGATCCCAATCCCCATCTACCTGACTGGACCCAATCCTCATCGGCCGACCAGACTTCTTGACCAAACAATACCGGGAATACACACCCGAAAGATAAAGACTCAACTTTAAGTCAAACTCAAACTCAGCCAGTCACCAGCTACACCCTCCCCTGTACCATGACTACTTCGCCGCGTCCGCAGAAGCGGACCACCAATACGTGCGTGACATGCCGCGCGCGCAAGGTACGATGCGATGGCCGCCGCGAGATCTGCTCAAACTGCGAACGGCTTGGCTTTTCCTGCTCGTACGACGAAAATGTCGGGGTCGAGATGGTCTCAGGCGAGGGCAATGGCATGTCCATCTCGGTGCCACGCCGCCGCGTGCGCCAGGCCTGCCAGAACTGCCATGCCAGGAAGGCCAGGTGCAGCGGTTCGATGCCGAGCTGCGACCGGTGCCGTGCCCAGGGGCTGGAGTGCGTCTATCGGCCCGGGAAGCGGTCTTTGCCGTTGCCGCCGCCCGTGGCCATTCCGAGCTCCACTTCTGCCGCCGGCGTCGCCGCGGCTGCTGCCCCTGGGACGGCCAACTCGCCTGCCATGTCGTCGCATGACGACGGCCAGCCAGGTCAGGCGGTGCCGAACGATTACGGAGCGTCTGCCAGCAGCACTACCAGCCCCGGATCGGCCGCTGTCGACAATACTGATCCCGACGAGGCCCTGGCTCTCAAGGCCTTCGACAACTTCTTCCGACATGTCCATCACATCGCCATGTTCTCCTTTCTTCATCGGCCGTCCCTCATGGAGCGCTACCACGCCGGCTCGTTGGACCGCGCTCTACTGCTCGCCATTATTGGCATCACATCCCTCCTAACTGACCTGGGCCCCGGTATGGACGCCTACGGCAGCCGCTGCATCGAAGATGCCGTGACCATGTGCCTGGCCGACCTAGAAAGACCTTCCATCCCCCGTCTGCAGGCTCTAGTGTTGGCCATAAAACATCGCATCCTTTCCAAGCGCTTCTCGAGCGCATTTATGCTTCACGCCATCGCCAGTCGCTTCGCCATAGCTCTCCGACTAAACCACGAAAATCCGGATCTTTGCTTCCTTGCCCGCGAGGCCCGCCGCCGATTGATGTGGACCATCTACATGATCGACTCATCCATCGCTGCTGGCCAGCCCGAGTTCGCGCTCTGGGCTGATGCCGAGCGTCAGATCCATCTACAGCTCCCCTGCAACGAGCGCAACTTTGACTTTGACTTGCCTGAGCCGACCGAGCCGCTCCGATTCCCGGGCCCCGGCCCAGGAGGTGTCGTCCCACCTTTGCCAGATGTGCTGGGTCTCATGGCCTTACACATCCGCCTCCATTGGATGCGGAACCGAATCCTGGAGTGCACTTCTCGAGCAGTGGCCTCACCATCTCAGGATGCACTTGCACTCCTCCCAGGCCAGTGTTCCGAACTTGCCACTGAGCTCGAGGCTTTTGAGGCGAGGCTGCCAGCCTCGTTTCGCGGCTGCGAGGCAAACTTTCGGCTGCGTAGCTACTCTCCACGGCTCGGTATCTTTGTCATGACACACGTATGGTGGCGACAATGTCATCTCGATCTCTACCGCATCTTCCTGCCAGGCCTCAAGGAGGCACTACCTCCGGCTGCGCTGCAGCAGCTCGACCTGCACTACGTCATGAACAGGCGGCGAACCTGCTACGAGCACGCCAAGGCTATGGCCGACATGTTCTCGCAATTGCTGACCCTCGGCAACAAGACTCCCGTTGCTGACCTTGATCTTCCCGCCTGTGCTTTCCAATGTACCAAAATCCTGTATCATGGAGTGCAGATGGCCGAAGGGGCTGAGCTTGGTCTCACGCAAGAACGTGTGCAAGAGCTTGCCAATGTCTGCCTCCGTGCTGCGCGACAGTCGACTCCTGGACCAGCTTCGGCTGCTATCGTAAGTGTCTTCTTGGACCGGCCAAATCAAGCTAAGTCACTAACGGTTCCTTAGCAATCTGACATCGAGAGACTTATCTCCAACGGACTGCAACTACCCGAGACCCCAGCTTCCCTACAGTTGAGCCGCGCTCGCGGGCCAAGCATCACCCCTGGGTCAGAAATGCCGTACCTTGTGGAACAAATACCTGACACCGACCAAATGCAAGGCATCTCTCATACACCACCAGCAGTCCAGATGCCCACTCTTCCTCCGACCACGCTGTCCCCCATGACAGCACTAAACATGCCAGTCGCCGACCCACAAGTAGCTGCTGCTGTCCCCCCAGCGCCGCCTTCGCAGACCAGCGCGATGACAGGCGCGAGCAACGCGTTTGAAGAAACGGCGGACGGGTTCATATTTGGTCCCGAAATGTTTGGGGTCGACTCGTGGCCGGCGCTGTCGCATGGCTGGACGAACATGACACAGTTCCCAGGCACCACCATTTGATTTGTTAACAATCCCCTGGAAAAGAAAAGAGAGAATGTGTGAGAAATGGGGAGGATAAAAGAAGTTGCGTGTCTTGTGGGGGCGTTGGGCATTCTTGAACGCATCTCAGTGGCAGCATCCCCCGCGACCGCGATGTCGCAATTCCACGTGCCTGTGGGGTGCATTTTTTTGGGCTTTTTTTTGGCGTATGGTTGGTGCTCGGGACTTGCGGGGCTGCAGCTGCGGTGAAAGGAAGCAAAATCGGGGCGACTGAACAAAGCTGGATGCAGCAGCGCATCCTTTTTATGAAGTGTGTTTCCTAACTACGATGAGGCGTCATGATATGGAACGAATCTTTGGATCCTACTGTACATATATAGCATACGCAGCTCTTATGTTTTGAGTATTTAACAATACATTAATCATCATGTGGTATCATGGTATCTGCAACTATGAACAAATAGCTCATAACATCATCGAAGCCATTAAGTACATAACAGTAGACTTGCCAAAGTCGGACATGTCTTCAGGTCATTCTTTTCTTGGCACCCAAATAATATATCGCTTTATCCTCCTGCTTCACTGCTCACCGCAGCAACGGAGTGTGTTCAGATAAACAATCATCTTCGCTGTTCCTCCGGCCCCCAACCACAACGACGGTCACGCCCCCGTCTGGATCTACAGTACTCTCCCGGTAGATCCAGCCAATGCAAATGCCCGCGCCAGGGCCTAGAAGCACTGAGACGAGAGCCATCACAGCAGCAACTCTCCATCCAGCTTCCACAAAAACCCAATATAGCACTGTCAGGCCGATGAAAAACGTGTTGATTATGATAAACTTGACCGTCGAGCGCGTCATTTCCTTGCGATCGTCGGGCTGTGTCAAGCTCCACAGGAATAGAACATATGAAATGATCGAGCAAATGGTCGGGATGATGTAGACTGCTACAAGCGCCAGTCGGTTCGACTCGAGATGGCAACTGGAATGCCAGACCTCGCGCAGCGAGAGCACAATTTTGCGGACAGCCTGCCTGATGAGAGAAACCCAGACGGGGAAGAACAGCCACACAAGGGCGACGATGGGGGTGTCGAGGACGAGGAGCAGAATAGAAGGAACGACGAAGCCGAGTGCAACGGCTATGGGAATGGCAACTGTCTCAGCAACCTTGGCCAGATGTCGCATGGCCTCACCAAATGTCGGATCGGCCGGTCCCAAGAGCTGCGCCGGCCCTCCACGACGGCGGGCAAGGATAATCTCACGGCTGCGATGGAAGAAGGCTGGAATGATGACCAGCTGCCAAATCATAGCACCGCCGATTAAGTCGAATACGAGCCATGGCCCCGTGGGGTACGCAATCAGTACCGCCGGTGCATTGCAGATTCTCGCCGCCTCGACCGTGCTCACTGTCAAAAGGCCAGCCAGGAACGAGAGGACGAGCGCCATGATACTGATGGCGCGCAGGGAGACGGATGCCGCGGCCTTCTGAAAGAAGCTGACTAGGAAGCAGGCAGGGCTGCCGATCACCGGGATATGAGAGAGCCATGGGACACGCGACCTGGCATGGCACTGGCTGTAAAGCATGTAGATGTCCGTGTCGCAGTGGACGAAGAGGGTGTAGCCGGTCAGCAGGGCGAGGAGGATGGGGACGACGACGAGGTAGCGGAGGGGGAATGTGTGCACCGCATGGCGCGGACGACGAGGTGGTGTGTCCATGATGGGCATGCGTCAAAGGCTGCTTCGTAACAATGCTTTGGGAGACAATTTTCTGGTGTGTAGGTGGGTTTATCCCTTCTCTCCCGCTGCCTTTTTCGTGAGAACGGCCCCATGTAAAGGGAATGTGACGGAGACAGTGACCGTTGGAGCATGCATCTCGTGATGGTCTTATTGGTCTTGGCAAGCAATTGGGACCCACCGCACGAGGGGTAGGGTATCGCTGTGGTCCCTACAGATTGCATCCCGCAATACTCTGCCCCACATCGCTGAGCTTGACACCAGGACCGAGCAGAATCCAATGGCCAGCTGCTTGTCATTGTCATCTTGAACAAGCGACAACCCATGTGCTGACGATTTCAAGTTAAGAGTTTCAAATTTTGAGGTTTCATTTTTTGCAACAGGCTGCGAATTGTCTCCCTATGGTGCCACATACAGTTATTCCTGCACCCTGTCTTTCAATAATCAAGAATCATTGACCCTGCTGAGCAAAGGGCTGTGTTGATCCTGAGATACAACTTATCGTTGTTCACAATGCCAACGAGCGTCGCTATCTTATCCAAAAACAGTGACCGCGAGCTGTCTCAAGTGTTCTCCTTTGATTATATGTACTTCTGTGATTGGTATTGAGGTAACCAGCTGACTGCGAGAGATCTACAGCCAACAGTCTATAAGCCGAAAAACTCTTCCCCGTTCATAATGGCATCTTGACTGCAAGCACGAGCTACGATGAGTTTGCCAAGCCCAGCAGTAACTCTGTTCATGAAGGCTTGCCGCGTGCCTGTTAGGTCACCGACCAAGGTCATGCGGTGCGTCACTTGCACCACCAAACTTAGGTCAGGCATCCAGGACAGCTGCAACGACAGCTGTGATGGCTGTGATGGCTGCGGTAGCTGTGCCGTACAAGCCGCTCAGCCTTACGGCGCGAACCCCATGCAAAAAAGCCTAAACAATGCAGTATATAACGCGCAGTTAATCCATATTCCAATACCCTTTCCTCACCGATGCTTTATTATGGATACGTTTCGAAGAGGTCTCTTCTGTTAAGATTGCTTCGATTTGTGTTTGCTGTTGTTACTGTCTCCACTTATTCCCTCGGTCTTGATTAGGAGCCACGAATATGCCATCTTTGATACCTTCCAGAACGCGATACAGGGCCACCAACTTGGGGTCCTCCATCTTCCCAAGGCAGACCCAGTGCCATCGCAGGGTCAACAGTGTTGAATCCACACCAGCCAGAACGTCCAGCATTGTCTCCAAAGTTCAGGATGCATTGATGCGACGCCAACGCAAAATCACCAACTGGCTTTCCTACCTCGACCCCAAGAACCCGCTTCCTGTTTCCGTCTCGTCCGATGATGTAGTCTGGCTCATGGACAATGTAGCTTTCCAAGGACCCGGAGGAGTATGGCAGGCCGAATTTGTTGCTGCCGTCTTCGACCATAAGCCATCGCCAAAAGCTGTAGATATCGTAGGCGATATTGCCAGTAAGCTGGGGTTTTCCAAAGGTGACAAAGAGGAAAAAACAATCGAATGGCGCGTGGCCCCATTTATGATGGAAGTCCTGCCAGGGAGATGTGTCAGAGTCAACTTTGAGAACCTCGTTCAGCTGGATCTGGGTCCTGGTGGTAGAAATGGCATCAGCAGCGATATAAAGCAGCTCCCGCACAACTTCAGTCATCTAGTTGCTCGATCCGTCGCTGACGTCCCACGAGGCGTCACTGGCATGCTAGAGATGAAGACTTTGTTTGCGGAGCCAGAAGGGTGGGCTATCATCTCAGGTATGAGTGTGCTCTATCCAATCTGCACACTTTCCCATGCTGACAGGATCTTTCTAGACATCGATGATACAATCAAGATTACACAAACAGATGATCCAGCTGGCATTTTAAGAACGACGTTTGTGGTGCGTTTCAGTGTTCTTGGTGACCGAAATTGCTCGTAGGCTAACGCTCAACAAGTCTGAACCAACGCCAGTTGATGGCATGCCGGAGTTGTACACTTATCTTCGCAATTTGTTGCCTCCCTCCGCACCGTTCTTTTACCTTTCAGCATCTCCGTACAACCTGTATCCCTTGCTCCGTGATTTCAGGGACAAGTATTTTCCATACGGGCAGTTGATTCTTCGTGACACGAGCTGGATAACAGTCTCTGGGTTGCTCGAGACACTGACAGTTGGAACAGAGACGTTCAAAGTCAACAGGATCAAAAAGATTAGGCAGTGGTTCCCTCGAAGGAAGATAATATGCATTGGCGACTCAACACAGAGTGACCCTGAGGCTTACGGCGTCATTTCCAGGTTGTTCCCAGGCTGGATTCGACTTATCCTCATCCGCAGAGTAACAGGCATTGCTGCTGCTGGACTGGAGGAAAAGAACGCACCAGAAAGATTTGAACGGGCATTTGCAAGCCTTCCTCGGTAAGTTCAATAAACGCATTGCGTTTCGATGTTTAGCTTTACTTGCTCCTTCCCGGTACTGACAAAGAACAGGGAAATGTGGCATGTCTTTGAAGATCCAGCCGAGTGTTGGTCATTAATTCACAACACCATCAAAGCGGAATGAACCTATACGCATTTCCACACCCCAACATGTCCATTGTTAGATCCGCTGAATTCCTGGTCCTTGATCAATTGTAAGATTTTGCCGTTACGCAGATCCGATGCGGAGTCACCTGACGTCATCTGCATACCTGGCTGAGGGTTTCACAGCCACTTACTTTCTCCGTTTGCTGTGTTCCAGCCTCTCCTTTGCGAGTCCTCTGAAACCCGACTTCTTCACATACGAACTGGATCAGCAAGAAGTCAAGTCTACCGCTTCTACCATATCTGACTATGTCGTCCGAAGTTCCGGCTCAGCGGCAGAAGTCTGACAAGGACCTATCCTACCATTTGATCTACTGGCCCGGATTTCCTGGACGAGGCGAACATGTGCGCTTAGTTCTCGAAAAAGCTGGTGCCGACTACACCGACACAGCTGCCACAGAGGGCGGTATTGACGAAGTCCTTGCCTATGTTCAAGGAGAGACTCCGGATGACGGCGTCAACCCTCCTATTCTAGCCCCTCCAATCCTCAGGCAAGGAGAGCTTGTCATCAGCCAAACGCCCAACATCGTTCTTTACCTCGGCAACCGCCTTGGCCTCTTGCCTAACCCTGAGGAGGACCCAGACGGTCTTTACAGAGTGAACGAGTTGGTGCTGACTGCACTGGATGGACTGAGTAACGAGGTGCATGACTGCCACCACCCGATTGCTGTGAGCCTCTACTACGAGGATCAGAAGCTTGAAAGTAAAAGGCGCGCCGAAGATTATGTAAAAAGCCGTATGCCCAAGTTTTTCACATACTTTGAGCGGGTTCTCAGTTCTAAAGCAAGCGGCGACGGGCCATGGCTCTACGGGGGCAAGTTGACAGTCGCAGATCTGATCCTTTTCCAAGTGCGCTGCGTTTCTCCTCCAATTTTCGTCATGAATGGCTCAGTTGACAATATCTTTAGTGTGTAGATGGTGTCAAATACATGTTCCCGAAGGCAACGGGCAAGCTCAAACGCGAAGGCAAACACTCAAAAGTGTTTGCGCTTCACAAGGCTGTGGCTGAATGCACCGGCATCAAGGAATACTTACAGAGTCCTCGAAGGCAGAAGTATACCAATGGCCTCTATCGGTACTATGAAGAGCTTGACATTGAGTAACACTGGACTAGACTGCTTTTCGTTAATGCCACCTTGTAAATCCACATTTACTGCACCGCTTGTGGGCATGATACTCCCTTGCAGTTCCATGTGTCTTGTTTGGCCCCCCTCCTCCTCCTTTGTGCCTCTACATACGGACTGTCCATAACATATTTCACCATTTGGCCTAATCTCAACGAATCCTAATTGTTCTTAGATCTTGCACGCTAATCCATCTAGACGTTGGCATTTTCAGCCCATAAAATCTTGAAAGGGAGGCAAAAATGTCTAAAACATACAACACCGGGTATTCCCCAGACGTCACCGATCTAGGTACTAACCCAGCCCTCACTGGCTTAACGAGAGTAGAGCGAATGGGATGCCGTGTTTTCCAGTGGGTGTGGTTGTATGTGCCTATTTCCTGCAACGGAAGTGACTTGAAAGGTAGTCACCAGGGACCATGGTCAGTGACAGAGCCATTCAGTGATTCTTAAATTCCGATACTCTCAGATAATCATCCAGTGTATTAGCAGTTTGACTCTCGGTGATAGATAGCACCAGCTTTTTGGCAACTGACAGTAAAAGATGAGTGTGCAAAATATTCCATCTTATTACTCCACAACAGGTCTTGGCGACTGCTGATGCTTTTGAAGATCAATGACATCATAGGCACTTGTGCACACCCACTCTCATCTTGACGCATCATGCATGAATGTCCCCGCCACCTTAAATTATTCCGTGTTCTCCACGACTCATATACGTCCAATTGCCTATCAAAAACACCACAGAGATCCGAAATCAAGAAAAGATGGAGCTAGAGCTCGAAATCCACCCACAACATTCGTTGGAACTTTGCCAAAAGTTCCTTCCCCCGGGGCTTTAAGCTACCTGATTTATCCTTGCGTCGAGGGCAACAGCAGGGCCCGGAAATCTATGCCTGGACTATACAGGACATCGACTACATTGCCACACTCGGTTCCAGAACTGTTATATATTTTGTGCTTACCGAAAGGCATCTCTGCCCCTCACCATTTTCTTGGCGAAAATTCATGGCTTCTACATGTCCCTGAGATCTTTAATCCTGTATCAGGCCAGACAACTCAGACTGGCTATTCCTAGCTCAATCTACCTTCTGCATTCTGCTCACTCGTCTTTCACTCGACACTTTCTCCTTCGGTGTATCCATCATATTCATCAAAACATCACAAGCCACTCAACTGAAGTGCTGATCCCAATGGCTGTCAAAAACAAGGCATCAACAAAGACAATCACCAAGAAAAAAGCCGTGACCCTCTCCAAATGTCAGGACCCGTCTCCAACTCAAGCTGGGCTCAGACGTTCAAGGAGCTGTCTGACAAAGACCGCCGTTCAAAGAAGGATGAAAGCAGGGGAATTGGAGGAACCAACCAACTTCAACCCTTCGGAGGGGGATGATGCACAGTTCGCTGTCACAAAGTTGGCAGAGACAAATAGACGTCTCAGAGCAACAACAAAGAGGAGAAAGATCAAAGTCGAGGAGATGATTGAAGGGTCTTCCGATGAGTCTCTATCCGAGTATTTGCCAGACCCGACCGATGATGAGACACAGTCGATTATATCCGAGGTAATCAATGAGAACTCACTAACTGGCGAGGCCAGATTAACCCAGTATTCATGTGATGTGGAAGCAACAGTTGACACCATGGAGGTACCAATCGTCATCGAAAGAGGTGCTGCGAGACCCCCTCCTGTCAACAGCGATTACTTGCCACTGCCCTGGAGAGGACGTCTGGGGTATGCGTGCCTCAACACCTACCTTCGTTCTGCAAAGACGCCAATCTTCAGCTCTCGAACCTGCAGAATGGCCAGCATCATTGAGCATCGACACCCACTCAGGGATCCCTCTCAGCCCGAGCATCCTGTCAAAAACCGACCTGACAAATCCAAGAAGGCTCGCAAGGAGCTTGGGGACAAGTTTGTCCAGGACCTTGGCTTGGCAAACGCCCGCGATATCATCAAAATGCTAAAGTGGAACGACAAGTATGGCATCAAGTTTCTACGACTTAGCTCTGAGATGTTCCCCTTCGCCAGTCACCTACAACATGGCTACAGGCTGGCACCTTTCGCTTCAGAGCTCCTTGCAGAAGTTGGCAAGGTTGCGGCAGAACTGGGACATCGGCTTACTACACATCCAGGCCAGTTTACCCAGCTTGGGTCTCCGCGAAAGGAGGTAATCGACGCGGCCATCAGAGATTTGGAATACCACGACGAGATGTTGACTCTTCTCCGACTTCCCGAACAGCAGGACCGCGATGCGGTGATGATTCTCCATATGGGTGGTGTGTATGGAGACAAAGCCGCCACGTTGGACAGATTCCGCAAAAACTATGCCACACTCTCTCCTTCAATTAAGGCTAGACTAGTTTTGGAGAATGACGACGTGAGCTGGAGTGTTCACGACCTGCTGCCCATTTGCGAAGAGCTCAACATTCCTCTGGTGCTGGATTACCATCATCACAACATCGTCTTCGACAGCACCCAGTGTCGAGAGGGGACATTCGACATCAGCCAGCCAGAACTCCAGGAACGTATCGCCGCAACATGGAAATGCAAGGGTATCACTCAGAAGATGCACTACAGCGAGCCCTGTCCCGGAGCCGTGACCCCTCGCGACAGGAGAAAGCATAGCCCACGAGTGGCCACATTACCGCCCTGTCCTCCTGACATGGACCTGATGATCGAGGCCAAGGACAAGGAGCAAGCTGTTTTTGAGCTCATGCGCAACTTCAAGCTACCCGGATTCGAGAAGATCAACGACATGGTGCCCTACGAACGTGATGATGAACCACGGCTACCTGTCCAACTTTCTAGGAAGAAGCAGAAGGCTGCTGCACACTTCAAGAGAAAACGAGCTGTTTCGGACAGTATCAGTGATCACAACGGCGCAAGCGCGGGTGGTGATGAGCAATGCCAACAAGTTCCTGGCAAGGAGGTCCCCTTGGATGAGGTCGCGATGGGCGGTCCACAGAATCGAGTGTATTGGCCGCCTGGAAGGGAAGATTGGCTGAGGCCATTGAAAAGAGGTGCCAAAGTCCCAAATATAGTTGAAACAGATTGAGAATACTCTTGATTCTAGTTATAAGGGATGCTTGGGGCCGCGTCGGGCCAACCCCCGAGCCGATAATGAGCAGTCGCCTGCACCCATCTGCAAAGACGTTGATAAAACAGTAAAATAAACAGATATATTGACTGAGAGTCGGGACTAAGATATTCGAAATTCAATTTATCATATAATACCCAAGAACATCCGAGCGAATGTCGCGCAGTTTTATGACTGTTTACCAGTTTGCCTATCAACTTCTCTGACTTGAGAGGAGGCCACTCGGAGGCTTGTCTGACTGGCGCAAAGCCATTGACATTTCCACAAAGCCTGTTTCGAACCAATGTAATGCCAATGACGACCCCCTGAAGCCCTTTCAGCCCAACAAGCTCCTTTTTCATCGCTGCGGCATCATTGGCCCAGGAGCACCAGGAACACCCGGAACACTAGGAGCCCCCGCCGCAGGACCCGGCACAACAGGGGACATCGGCGTCCCAGGCACAGGAGCAGGCCACGGCTGGGGTTGAGGCCCAGGAAACCCAGGAACTGGCACAAGTGCATAGTTATATGTCGGCGGTGACCTTGCCGAAAGGGACTTGTGCCGGTGCACGCCAGCAACCTGCATTGCTTCCTCGGCGGTCGCTGCAGCGAACTTGATGGCCTCACCTAGGAAACTTGCCGTCTTCTTACTCCACTTGTCGGGGCGGTTGAGCACTGAGCTGGCGATGTGGCCCAGTGCTGTTGCAGGCCTAGCAGGTGACATAGAGCCTGACACTGATGGAATGATAGGGATTACTGATGGTTTGGAGACAGGATAAGCGTTAAGATGTGACGTTGATTGAGGAGGAGGCGGTATTGTCTGAGGAATGGCCATGGGCTGAGGAGTTGTCGTGCCCGGTCTGGGAGAAACTGCCACAGGCGCGTAGGGTCCTACGGCGGCTGCTTGGGGAGTTGGTGCCGGAAACATTGGTGCTGGCTGGGTTCCCGGGTGAGGAGAAAGAGGCTGCGCACCCATGGGTGTCTGCGGCACAGAGATTGTCGGGACATTAATGGTCGGCAGCTGGCTCTGCGTAGTAGGATATACATGTGGTTGAGTAGCAGGCCTCGGGGGAAGTGGTGGTGGGTTAGGGCCAGGAGCCGGAGAAGCAACCGCAGCTAGATAAGGCCCTGAAGAAACCTGTGTGACTGGCGCGTGTCCCTGAGTTGCGCAAGCAATGGTTGCCGGGGGCACAGCAACAGAGCCAGTAGAGCCTGGGTATTGGGGGGGAGATTGCAATGGCGGGGAATACGGTGGCGGCGGTGACGATGGGGTGACAGGAGTTTGGCCCAAGCTGGGTGTTGATGGGGAGGACAGGCCATCACTTGGTTGTGGATGAGGAGGTTTTGGTACTGGCGCAACAATTGCTGGTTGAGTTTGCTGACTCGATACTTGGCCAGGCTGCATTACAGGAGGAGGAGAAGGAGCCGTCACAGGGGGATATTGGCCTGTGATTTGGTTAACTTGTGGGTGAGGGTTGTTTATTGGCAAGGATGTGGGTTGCTGGGTTTGCTGAGCGCATTGCGTCACTGTAGGCTGCGAAGAAGTCGCTGTAGGGGAGTATTGACTTATGTTCTGATTATCAGTAGGTTGTGAAGGAGATAGTGGAGAGGTAACCGATTGGTTTGGAAAGAGCGGGCTGGAGAATTCTAGCTCCGAGTCGACAGGAATGAGTCCTTCATGGTCAGGAGGGGCCGGCTTTTCAACAGGAATCAGACCCTCATGATCGGGGTAAGCTGGTCTGGGGCTTTTAGGAACAAGAGAAGATTGAGCCTGAGTGTTCAAGTACGGGTTCACATTCACCTTCCACGGCGGTAAAACTGGGATGGGGCCAGGTGTTTGTAGAGTATCACAAGCAAGAGCAGTCGTTGTTGTCGCTTGTGACTGAGAATCCTGCCCCAAGGCAGTTGAACTTGGCTCGTTCGTTTGGGGAGGATTAGGGAAACTGTGCCCATTGTTTGATAGAGGTTGCTGGACCGAAGCGGTAATGTTTGCCTGGTTGGCTGCTGTTGGCTTGGCCACACTTTGACTGGGAGCCGGCGTCGTTGGCAAGCTGTTCGGCGCAACTTGAGCACTTTCTGACTTTCCGGGGAGGCGATATGGTTGTATCACTCGCAGAGACCGCCGAGATCCGGCCGTCCCGAATTCGGGCACTGAATTAGGCGTGGCCGCTCCCTGTATTTGGGCCGGTCCTGTGTTGCTAATGGCCAGTCCTGCCATGGAAGAAACCAAGCCTTGCTCTGGTGGCTGTAGTGGCTTGTATTCGCGTTGAGGGCCATCATGAGGGGATTGACACTTTTGTTGTGCTTGCTGCGTCAGCCGAGCGCCTGGCCGATATGGCGTATATTGAGCCGGTTGGCGCTCAGCGGGCGCGTTCGAGGCCATTTTGATATTGATGTGGATACAAGAGTTCTCTATTGTTGGTCAGACAAAAAGTCAACAGATCGGCTGGGAAGGACAGGCGCGTGTCGTAGACTCAAAATGATCGGGATCGCCAGCCAGTAGCTCTCATATCCAGCAGTGTATACCCGGGGTCGGACGCGGTCGCTGTCAAGGCAGGGGTTTCAGACTCTCGAGAGCCCTTTTTTAACGCCGCAGTGGGAACGCCAGCCTGATCAACGAAAGCGATCCGAACAGTTCAAGACTTCCTTGGCAATCAGCCACTATTCCAAATTCATGCCCGATCATCAGCCGCAGGTCCTCCAGGAAAACAAGCCACATAGGGCTACCATCCCGAAAGCGCAGCAGTGCTCCTGTCCCAACTTCATCTAGAGATAAATGTGGCTCTCATCTCCGGTGAGTTCGTTGCGATATTTTGGTTGAGTCTTGTCACGCGTGTGAGTTCTCATACATGCAGCTGGAAACTTACAACTTGACACTATAGATACGGTTCACCAGGAAAGCATCGAGGTCAATACGAGGGTTAGGGTTGCATATTAGGGTTGGTTCCAGTAACAATGGCACTGCCAACCTGTCACCAATTGCAACTGACACTCGGTTAACCTGGAAGTCAAAACACACCATCAACCACTCACCGGTGTGAAATCACTTGTTCCCTATTACTCTCAGTTCCTTGCATGCTTATGGTACTGAGGGCTTACGTTTAAGCCTAAGTGAACCACACAACACTCTGTCCATTCAAGTGCTGATGATTTGATATCGTGTAAACAAGTACTCGCACACATCCTGGCCCGCAAACATAGAGATGGGGAGGCGAGACTTGCTTTTATGCTTTGACGCCTTCGGGACGCTCTTCAAGCCCAAGATACCTATTCCAGAACAATATGCCCTAGTGGCACGTCAATTGGGATTGAATGGCTTTAGCCTGGAGCAGCTCGAGACATCATTCACAGCGGCCTACAAGTCGGAGAGCAAGGCACACCCAAATTATGGAAAAGAAAGCGGCATGGGGGCCGAGAAATGGTGGACCAACGTAAGTCCAGTTATCCCCAGGAAGGTGTCGATTAGGCACCAAGTCAAGGAAATGCTCACATTGACGCTCACGAGCACCAGGTCATCCACAAGACTTTCCAGCCCCTGATCGGCCCACACGAAGAACTGCCCAAAGATCTAGCCCCAAAGCTCCTGCATCGCTTTTCCTCCAGGGAAGGCTACACACTAGCCCCCGGTGTTATACACCTTCTCCGAAAGCTCAAGGCTCAGCAAGCCCCCAACCCTCTCAGTACTAGCCAGCCAAGTTGCATTATCATAGGAGTCATCACCAACTCAGATGACCGTGTAACGAGTGTCCTATCCTCCTGCGGCCTGCGTATTAGCCCTGTTCGGGCAGGTGTGCAGTTTAGTGTCTCAGGTGCTGTCAACTTAGAGAAAGCAGAGTATGACATTGACCTACACTGTATCTCATATGACATCGGGGTCACCAAGCCGGACCCCCGCATCTTTGATGCTGCCGAAGCAGTAGCAAACACCCTTAGAGCTATGCGTGCCCAAGACCAGACGATAACAGAATGCCATACAAGGCCATGGGTTAAGGTTTATGCCGGGGATGAGTTGGTGAAGGACGTTCAGGGAGCCTGGGCAGCTGGATGGAACTCAGTTCTTGTGGGTCCAGCTTCAGACACAAATTCGCAGGAAGGTTGTAGAAAACTTATCGATTGTCGGACGCTGCCATCTGGTGAGCTCTTTAGGCAGAAGGGGGCTGCTCTGATGTTGAAAGCAGAGAGTCTGCAAGACTTCCTAGAATGGCTCACAGAACAATGTGCCTAAGGGAATCAGGTGGAGGATAAGATTTTGTGGCTTGACCAGTTCGGCAAATATGATAAGATTCACACAGCCATATGAAACAACGCATCACGACACTTTCCTTGACCAGAATTTGATACCTGATACGTTGCCAGCAAGCACCAAAGTTTAGCATACATTAATAGTGAAGTATGTACAAGCCAACTCCTCTGCAACCACCCATCCCTTTGTACCGACCCGAAAAGGAAGTCAAGTTGTGAGCTTGTTCTGACTTCTTTTTTCTACTGTAAGAGAGAAACTGAGAAGCTGATGCAAACGAGGTAACACCCTGTAGAATTGTACTAACAAGTGACTATGATAGACAGGAGATGTGCACATGATGTGACCAAGCCTTAATGCAACCTGGCCTATGAAAGGGAAGAAGGTGTGGTCAAAGCAAAAGGGGGAAAGGGAAGGGAATGGAAAGAAAGAAAGGAGTGTATCTCTTGGGGGCCATAAACCCCGAGGACTTCAATGTAAACTCATGTCCGCTTAAGGGCAAGCAGAAGCAGCTAAAGACACGGACACAACAACAAATCGAAAAAAGGGGAGGCTGTGAACCTGTGGGGACTATGGCTATGGGTGCAGAAACCCAGAACGCCTAATATTTTTTTTTCCTTTCTCTTCCTGTTCCCGAATGTCTTCTTTTTATCTCTCATACCCTCTCACTCTCACATCTTCTCGTCTGTTTTTCTCTTCTCACCGGGCTTTTGAAGCCCTTCCTTTCTGTCCCAGACAAATCCCGCAGGCACTTGCCCGATCCTTTTTAACCAGCACAATCTCCAAATTCTCTCATGATAACATCGGGTATTCTGCCATGAATCATCTCCAGTGAACACACATTTCAACCCGACATCTTGACATCTGAATCCGTGGAAGGAGCAGTAGAAGAGGTAGATGCATGGATAATGCCATTAAGCGAAGACTGCGCTTGCTCATCATTCTTCTTCCTATACAGCGTTTCGCACCATTCTTCTGCGCTCACAAGCGTCCTGTTGAGAACGTCTCCAACTTGAGTCATCATCTGTAGAGCCTCCTTGGCAAACAACAGAGCCAGATGGGCGCTGTCGCGAACCAAAGCCTCCGGGCTGCCGTTTCCGCGGCGGCCCTCCGAGGTCTCCCGGATGTAATGGAATTGGTACAGGCCGGGCAGGCTCATCAACTGGCGATGGACAATATTCCTGGCATTCTCGGGCAGTGCACTGCCAGCATACTTTGATACTGTCTGAACAGTCCGTTGGATAACACGAAAGATGTCCTCCTTCAGCTCCTTCATACGCAGGAGGAGTTTGTTGAGATCAGCAGCACCGCTGCAAGACGAGTCTTTCATGACCTGATCCTCGCCGTCCTTCTGGGTAGCGCGGTCATACTCGTCAATGACATTCTTCAGCTTCACAATGATCTCGCCGACGTAACTGTTCGTTTCTCTGAGAACCTTGAGGCAGAACCTGAGACTCTTCAAGCTCTCTTGTTTCATAGCAACACCTAAGCCAGATGTCGTTACAACAAACCGTTGAGGCCAAGGCTGCGGCGAGGTGCCTGGGGGGCAAGATCTCGACGTCATCTCATCTGCTACTTCGGTATATGCTGGAGATTTCTGGTCGTCGTATGGGGGTAAAGTGTCGATGGTGCTGATCGACATGCGGCGATCGTCAAAGCCATCGGCTGCAAGCTGGGGTGACGTGGAATTCGACAAGTTGGACTCCTTGTCATTACGCTCCGACTTGCGCCGCTTGGTGCTCCCGCGATCGCCCGATTCAATATCTGACAAGGCCTGTTGCTTTTTGTTCCGTATCCCAAAGATCCACCTCACGCCCCCCTCTACACCAGTTTTCCGGCTCACAGTCCCGACGGCCTTTGCAACGGGATTCAGACAGCTCTCGACATACTCGGCGCCTGACTTGAGGTGGGGCGAGTAATTCTTGCCAGTCCTATAGGCAGAGGCAGCACCTCCGATAGTGCTGGCTAACAACGGATAAGTTGTTGTGATGAGCGACAGGAGAGGCTCCGGTTCGGGCTGTTTGCTATTCTGCGACGATGAGGGAGCAGGCTTGCAGTCTACAGAGGTCTTGCGGTCACCCGGTGCCGCTGAAATCAAAGACGGGGATTGCTTTGGTGATGACATAAAATCTGATGGCAGCCACAACAGTCAGCCGATTTGACAGGCACAGAAGGGTAACGAAGCACATGACAGCACGCAAATGAACGACTGGTGACTGGGTCAGAACATGACGAACCTGTTCTCATCTGTCCAAGTGCCTCAGCGGCAATCCTCACATCGGGGTCGTCAAGGCTGACACTGGCTGCCCTGGGCCCGGTGCTCCGTTCTGAATCCATGCTCGGAGAAGATTCGGCACTCTCGAGGTAGCTGGGGCGGTAGTAGGTCGTGAAAGGGTTCATGCTAGGCCAGTGGTTTACTCTGGTCTGCTGGGGGTTGTGCGATGAGGCAGGAGGATGCGACAAAGGAGCATGACGCTGGGGCTGCGTGCCTGTGACCTCGGACAATGGTGGCAAGGTTTGTTGCCCCAAGACGCTGGCGGATTTCTCATGAGGCAGCTGGATCGGTGCAAGCTCTGTAGGCGGCTCGTCGGGGAAAGAAAGCGCGAGGGGCGGCAGCTGCACGGGGGCCGCTGGAGGCGCTGGAGGCGCTGGAGGTGCTGGCGGCGGTGCTGGCAGCGTCGTTGGATGTGGATGTGGATTTAGACTTGGGCTTGGATTTGGATTTGAATTTGGATGTGAATGTGGACTTGGGGCTGGGTGCAGGGGGAAATCTCTGGACAGGGAGCGATGGTGAGCGAGATGACCTGGCGGAGGTTGCATCGGATCAAGCTGCATCGTCGACACGGAAGCCTCCGGTGCCGACGCGACCGAGCCTGTTGCGCGGTGGTGACTGGGAATGCCTCCGGCTAGAGCAGTCGCACCCTCGGACGACCCATGTGGTTGTGGTTGTGGTTGTGACTGTGATTGCGGTTGTGGGAGTGGTGGCGGCAGACACTGGCCGCTCAGCATGTGACAGTGCTCCATCGTGCAAGTGCTTGCCCAATGCCGACCGCAGACCCAAAAAGCGAGCGGGGCCGCTGATCAGATGAGCGTCAGCATTGGAATGCCAATGCAATGTAAGGGACAGCGACGGGAGTGGACAAAAAGAGTGTGTGAGCAAGCAGTGCGTGGAGGACGATGACGCGCAGTTGAGAGTAGGGCGAGTACAGTGCTCAAGGCTCAGGTCACTGCCACTCTGTCCGTCTCTTTTTGACGAAGGCTCAGCGCCGCTAAGTCGCGCGACTGCCCGAACTAAGTATGAGAATATTATTAGCGTGTCACTCTCAAGTCCTGGGCGTGTGCTTGATATGGAGATTTGACGCGTTTGAATGCCCTGCGGGTGCCCAGACAGATAAAACGAAGCAGCAGCGCAAGCAGGTAGACGGAATTACTCGAGTATCTGGCGCAGCGGAACGGACCCTGCGTCGCCTCTACATGGGCGATGGGATTGGGCGGATGAACACTGAAAAGGCTCTGCTGACACCGTTGCTTGCTGCTGTGGGCCCAAAAAGAAGTCGGGGAAATGAGTGTAGCAAAGGGGAAGACAGGAAAGGGGTCAATGGCTGACGGAGAGTGGTCAATGATAATATTATTGGAATTGGAATTGGATGGAGCTGTTTGCTAAAAATGCAAGGAATCCAGCAGCTCACAAGCCGCGCCGAGCAGGGCAGAGAGACGACCGGGATGTGGGGAGCGGCGAGCGGGATTGGACATGTCAGGTACTTAAGCTAAACCGGCTGTGTGCCTACGCAACCGCATACCTGCTACCTACCAGCCTGTCGACACCACCCGGTCAGCTGCCAGAGCCCTAGAGAAAAAAAAAGTTGGCAACCATTCAATGCCGCTGTCTCCGGTACAGCACACAACGTGGGCCATGGCATCACGGCATTATCTGGAGACTGGCGGCCGCTCAGTCGCTCTGTGTCACCTATGGATCACACAGGGACAGCATGGATGCGTCCTCTGCATTAATCGCGTTGCCTCAAATATCGCTAGGTACCCTACTGACAGTACGCCTGCAGAGCTCATTAGTCTTCACGCAGATCCTGTCATCCGTGCCCATCTGCGGCCTGCTGCGTCCCTTTTGCCCATCGAGATCCGTGGTTGTCACCAGGTCACAGACTATGGCGCAAGCCCCGCCCTGTCCTCCCCAACCGCGACCCGGCAGGGCTTGAACGCTTTCAGGGTCCACGAGTGATTCTCCAAAAAAACCGAGGCCCCTCTTAGATGTCACATGGTGATTACTATACGCTCTGCGTCCGATTTCTGTTGAGCTCCAATGCATATACTGTGCAGCTGCAGCAACATGCCTATATACAAGCACTGATAGTGCTAAGTATTGATCTACGATTCATCTCTTCTGTTATCCAAGCCGCCACTGCCATCCCACCCGGTACTCCCTCCCGCCCACGCTCCTGCGCTGTTAACCGACCTCGACAAATCATTCCGAGCTCGTGATACCAAGACTCTGGGCCTTCCGTCGGTATCAGCAGCAGCAGCCCATCAATGTTAGGAGGAGGGTTAACTGGCTGCTGACATCCTAGGCATCCGCACGTACACCGTAGCCGTGGAGTGACGGTTTCGAGGAGAGATGGATCAAGGATGCCACCAGCTTCAAGCTTGTCCCCACTAGAGCCACCAGGACCAAAATGCAGCGCGGGGTGCCTGCGCCTAACATGTCCCTCTCCGTCCTGTCTCAGTACAAGTACGACCAATTCGTCTCCTGAGAGGCCGTATTAGCATCTAATTATTTCCTTCTTGTAACAAAGATAAGTTTAAATTCTCTATGCTATGCTCTCGGAAAGTTGACGAGAAACACGGGCTATTTTGTACTTTTACACTGCTGCCGGCAAAGGCATGCGCATGGAGGTACTTGGATGGTGGATCGGTGAAGCACGTGTCAGCTTTAGTCAGACCCGCCAAGTCGACGGGCGTTATTCTTTGGGGCTTGGTCACATCGTCGCCGATAGCTCTCTGTTGAGTCGACCCACCTTCACATGCATTCCTGCCACTCTCAACCCGAAGACATGCCAGCCGGAAAGCAGGGGCAGAAACGCGGAAGAAATCCGTTTCCTCCCCTTCAAGCAATGAACATATCCATCCCATAGCGATAAGTCGTCTGGAGATCCATGCTTTTAAAGAAGCCTTGCAAACAGCCTAGGTACCTACCTACATATCTATGTCTCTACATCCGCTTGCATCGCGTCAGCCTTATCTGAATCCCGCAAATAAACGAGCCGGCGAAAGCAAATGCGCTGCTTCTCTACGAACCTGTCATGGCAGAAAACGCGGGTTCAGCCACAACACAGCTATCGGCATGTAGTATGGAGAGACTCCAGCATGTTTGCGAGATTGTCAGAAGAGATTTCACATCAGACAGGCACAGCAAGGAGCGTCCATGAGTCAAAGATTACCCAAGATGCCGATATCTAGTAATGCCCTTCGCCCTTCATCGGTTCTAATTAAGTCCAATGGCTGGGCAGGAACCTTGATGGCAGATGGAATGTGATCCAAAACGGGAGGGCTGGCTTTCGACGGTACACGTTCCGGGTCTGTTAAACACAATGTCATTAGAAAAGCCGACAATAGTGCAGATTACAACTTGCTAGAACGGGACGTTTGGCTTGGCTCTAAAGATACTTCCAAAATGTCCCTCTCTGAGCATAGGTGTTTGAAATGTCCGGTGCCTCTGACGCTGCCCAAGCAATGAACTTAAACTAGCATGTCTGGACAGCTCTTATGGCACCTTAAGGAATAAACATCCTTCTTCTCCGCATCGCAAATCGCAGACGACATCAACAACAGCACGGTTCGGGACGACAGAATGCCGGCCCGGGTTGTGCGTACGATGGGCTGCACTGTCTATTGGACGCGTTGTTGAGAAGAAAAGAGTTTTCAAAAGCATCCAATTTGTGGACTGAAAAATAATGCGACGGTGCGCCAGGAGCCGCGTGCACGGACCACATATGGAGCAATTAAAGGGCTACCACGGAGCTAAGTTTAGCCTTCTGCCGATGCCAGGCTTGGCATGTTGCCCGAGAGGAGCCGCAGACAAGAAGCGGATTGACGTGGGGTTTTGTGGATCCCCTCTGTTCAGCCATAGGCCTGGATCTAGCTTCGTGTCCCAGTCGTTGTCGTTGAGAGAGGGGTCCGTGCATCTGGTTGAGGATGCGACAAGCGGCAAACCACCGGTCGAACAACTGAACACACCGTAAAAGAAGCTCAGGTGTATGAAAGGAGAAGACGAGACAGATCGGCAGACTGCATACTCGACGGAAGCCTCCAGACATTCCCCGAAACGCACGCGAAGCTATCAAGTTCATAGCATATCCAGCAACCCAAACACGAAGCAACTGGTACGTCGGTGACCGCGCAACCTCAGCGCCGACTGAGAGATCGCATCGGGCTAGCAATCAATCACCGACACGCAACTCTTCCTGGATTGGCCTGGTCTACCTGTCCGCGTCGAACACGACCTCGGTGCTCGACACTTGTCCTCGCCTGCCCACCCTTCCTGAAACACCCAAGCCAGTCTTCCCCGACCACTGATCTGGCCGGGACCTGCCGGGCAAACTCACATCGCCATGGCGTCGGCCATCTTCTTTCTCGACCTTAAGGGTAAGACCCTTCTGGCCCGCAACTACCGTGGCGACATTCCTATGTCCGCGGCGGAGAAGTTCCCGATACTCTTGAGTGAAGCAGAAGAAGAGTCCTCCGCAGTGCCCCCATGCTTTTCCCATGAGGGAATCAATGTGAGAACCTACGCCAACTATTCACTCTTGCCTGTCATCCTCAAATGCTGACTAGACCATACTGCGACCAGTACCTCTATATCAGACACAACAACCTTTATCTGCTCGCCCTCACAAAACGGAACACCAATGCCGCTGAGATCCTGCTCTTCCTGCACAAGATTGTCGAGGTCTTCACCGAGTACTTTAAGGTGCTCGAAGAGGAGTCTATTCGCGACAACTTTGTCATTATTTATGAGCTTTTGGACGAGATGATGGACTTTGGCTACCCGCAGACGACCGAGTCCAAGATCCTGCAAGAATATATCACCCAGGAGTCACACAAGTTGGAGATTCAAGCCCGGCCCCCAATCGCCGTTACCAACGCTGTCTCGTGGCGGTCGGAAGGTATTCGCTACCGCAAGAACGAAGTCTTCCTGGATGTCATCGAGTCTCTCAATCTGTTGGTTTCTGCCAACGGTAATGTGCTGCGGTCCGAAATTCTTGGCTGCATCAAGATGAAGTGCTACCTATCAGGCATGCCCGAGTTGCGCTTGGGGCTGAACGACAAGGTCATGTTCGAGACCACTGGGAGGACCACCCGCGGCAAGGCCATTGAGATGGAGGATGTAAAGTTCCACCAATGCGTACGCCTTTCCCGCTTCGAAAACGATCGCACCATTAGCTTTATCCCTCCCGATGGCGAGTTTGAGCTCATGTCGTATCGCCTGAACACACAAGTTAAGCCACTCATTTGGGTTGAGTGTGTGGTTGAGTCGCACAGCGGTTCGCGAATTGAGTATATGCTCAAGGCTAGGGCACAGTTCAAGCGACGCAGCACGGCCAACAATGTCGAGATTATCGTACCTGTCCCTGACGATGCTGACAGCCCACGCTTCCGGACAAATGTTGGCTCAGTCCACTACGCTCCAGAGCAAAGCGCCATCATCTGGAAGATTAAACAATTTGGCGGCGGGAAGGAATTCTTGATGCGTGCTGAACTTGGCCTGCCTAGCGTCCGTGGTGATGACGAGCATGGCGGTGGTATGACGGGCGGTTTTGGCGGAAGCATGGGTGGTATTGGCGGTCCGGGGAAGGGAGCCAAGAGGCCTATTCAGGTCAAATTTGAAATCCCCTATTTTACTACAAGCGGTATCCAAGTGCGATACCTGAAGATTACGGAGCCGAAGGTTTGTTATCACCCTAGCTGGTTCCCCCCCCCTCTCCCCCTTCATAGTATTCACTTTATCCGGCTTCTCCTCTTTCGGTGGCTAACACCGCGTTCGTCCTCAGCTTCAATATCCTTCACTGCCATGGGTACGCTACATCACACAGTCCGGTGACATCGCCGTAAGGCTACCTGACGCCATATAAGTCTGTCTGCCCATAAAACCGGAGGAGGTCTTTGTCGTTATGGGATTGCTGCATCCAGCATGCCATGCTTCGGCGTTCTTGGGAGATAGTTGACTCATTACTTGGTTTCCGTGGCGTCTTGTGGTATATAATAATTGTGATCCAGGTGCAAGAAACTAGAACAGGCATGAAACTAGACAAATCCGGTGCGCATACAACCCCTATTAGATGGCCTATTTTCCCCGGTGGGACGTATCCAAACTGTGATCAAATCCGTCACACAATGATTGATTGGTGGTCTCCATGTCCCTCACCGCGTGACTTAAGCACAGTAATGGTAATTACAGGAAAAGTTTCGGAATCATTGCTCCTGTTCGTGTAATGTAATTCGTGGAGCCATTCTTGACATTCTCAGTCTGGTCATGGTTATTGAGGGCAGCAAGGTTCGTCATCACCAAGGGAACAGACCCTTCAAAATGTACTCAGCGTCTCCTGGCAGACCTGTGGCAGCTTCAATATGCATGATCTATCCAATACTCTCTTTCGATGACAGACAGCCTAGGGGATTGACTGACCCAGGAGATCCTATAGCGGTCTTCAACTTTTCATTCGGCTGGAATTCTGCAGGTCAAGCACTTCCCATATCTGATCACTCAGATCTCTAGTTGCCTGGTATGATAAGGAGGCATCCTTTCATTTGAACTGAAAACAAGCCCCCAAGGATTTTCCACGCACTCAAAAAGCAATTACCCAATGTGAGCTTCCATGCCGGGGATTGAACCCGCATCACCAGAGGTCCAACGCAGGATAAAATATGGAATGCTAAACCATTACAATACATGGAATCTATTGTTGGCGCTCCTTCTACCCTACGACGCGATAAACTGCCAGCACCCCGCAGAGTATGCCCTGGGTCAGACGACATGGCCGGTTTCTTTGATTCCCCCATATTGATGATAGGGGATCTCCACCCTGCTCTTTCAACAACGAATATGGGAGACGTATCGATAATCATTGTCACAATGTAGCATTTCAAGACTCGAGGGGTGCCGGTCAACAACAGTTTGGTGTGCCTCATTGACGGTTGTTACCTGAAACATTTCTTAACATACTTTGTTGTAATATCAAGGTAGGCACAGCTACCAATCAGTCGCTGGGATAACTGCCGAGTCCAATGTGCTCCATTAAGGTCCAAATGAACCTGTGAACGGGACCAGTCCGGCTGAATTCCACGCACCCGGAGATGAAGCCGGCAAGGAACACCAACGGAGGTGCTCATCCATCACGGACCTGATGTGTACATATAGGTACGATGCTTTGGGAATGAGAGATTATAGAGAAATCTATCGAGGCTTCCGCGCTGCTTTCCTAGAAAGTATATCTTTCCCATCCTGGCCCATTTGTCTCAGCTCTCCATTCACCCACAGTCAATAGCAGTCGTCACGTCTACATGCCCGAAATGCTTTCTATCTTGGTGTTCAGCATCATTACACCCGTGGTCTCTTTTGCGGGCAACTGTACTCGTGAATTCCTCAAGACCAGTGCGGATAGTCTTGTTGCTGCCCAGACTGCCGGCAACCCGGAGCTCCTTCAACCAAAATCAAATAACTTTGAGTATCATGAGAACTTCGCAGAAGCATCCTTCACGGCGGGGATATTATCATCCCCCCTCAAGGTGGACCATAATCGACACAGCCTTGACACCACTCAATGCGCCACTTACACTGAGATAGTCTCAGCGACAGGGAGCAAGCCATATGTCATCGGTGTACAAATGTATTTCACAGACAATGTCATCTCAAAAGTGGCCACACTCATCACGACCACTGGTGACTGGCTTTTCAATGCAACTGGGACGCTGTACTGGGCCAGCAGAGAGGACTGGAGTACCATCCCCGAGGAAAAGCGCGATTCTCGGGACGTTATCCAGGCGGCAGCGGAGGCCTATCTTAACCTGTTCAGCGACAATAGCACTGTAGTGCCGTGGGGTTACCCTTGCTCGAGGCTGGAAGGAGGGATGTACACGGGAAACGGCGGGCCCAATGATAGATGTGACGTGGGCATTCCTAGCGGTGTTTCTCTCGTGAGCCGGCGCTATGTCATCGACGAGACAGCCGGAGCTGTTTCTGTTTTCCTGAGTTTCTCTGGCCTTCCAGACAGCCATGAGTTCCGCATTGAGGGGGGAAAGCTCCGTTATGTACACACTATCACTGTTTTGAGTGTTAGAGCCAATGGCAAAGAGAAGATGAGAGCTAGGAAGGCCATGGCCACCTATCCAACGAATTGAAGGGATGGGAGAGGACAACCAAAGGATATATTGTGTGAAACTACAGGGCCCTATGCTCGGCTGGCATTGTATTTCGGTAACCAGTTATATGAGTCAGCAGAAAATATCCCAGCTGGCATCGAATTGTGATGTACTTATGGAGCTACCTGGGGGTAATCTGGAGGTAGCAAGAGTCTAGTCCACAAGTACAGCACTTTCGATCCATTCTCTGTCCTTTTTTTCTCGTAAATTGGTCTTTGGGTAGCAGAAACTTGAGCCGAGCCCCTGCGGACCGTCAGCATAGACCCACGAGACCCCAGTACAACGGCCCAATGCTGAAGCGGGCCTTAAGTTGAGATAGGCACAGAGGGCAAGACAATCCTGCATTGTCGGTGTGGGAACTCGAGCGAGATCGTCTCCCATGTAGTCGGCACCACAAACCCGCATAAACCTGAGGTTGGTCCCAGGTACAGTATAGTTAACCCGCCCCTCTGGAATGCTTGGACATTCTGCTGCAACACTACCGGCTGCAAGCGTTGTCGTGCTGGCCCCAAAACAGAGATGGCTTGTACCGCTTGTTTGTGTTGAGGGAGCTGTTGGTGAAGACACGGTATCGTTACTGCTACAGATGTCAGCTTTCACATTTTTCCCACCTTCCATCAAAGTAGTCGAGCGAAGTGAGTCATTGAAGCAACACACCTCCCACATGATTCCTTTGCCGTGGTTGCTGACTTTTGCAAAACGTGATTCTGTACCACTCCTAGGATGACAAGGCCGATTGCAAGCAAAATATTGCTAATGACCAGTGCAAGTGTTGTTTTCCGTAATCCGAGTACTTTTTTGTTCTTCGGATCCGGTAACTTAGTATATTGATTGGGTTCAGATGCAAGTGAAGTGGTAGGGTCCAACGCCGTCCTGTCAGACATTTTAGGCCAACTCTGTGAAGTAGACGACCAAGTGAAAGTAGGGTTGTGTTGCTGCTGTAGTTGCACCTGCGGCATCTGATGTGCTTGGTGTAAGTGATAGCGGCTATCGTAATCGGGAGGCAAGTATACTGGGTGTAAGCCGTGTCCAGGTGGAGTTGGGTCGACAGGCTGAAGACCCTCGAGATCTCTTTGGCCCCAAGGCACTGGCATCTTCCGGATTTCGAGTGTTTTGCTCACACTTCCGAGGGAGAGACATTGAGGGTTTATCAAAGAGACTCTCAGTGGTGCTCGGTCGAGCGATTGTGCTGTGATTGGCCCCCACCTTACTGCCGTGGTGGTAGTGCTGTGCCGAGCTCAGGGGTGAGCACCGCCCCTATCCTGTGCCACAGCGATACATCCAATGTTCGAGACCATTGCCCGCTTAGGCTCTCCGGGCGTGAGATGCCACTGGCCCTTTTTGATTCTGATCAGTTGCATTTGCTTGCCCTCTGCTGCCAACTGCGTTACCGGCACATTTCAGTCTGCAAGTGTGTGGAAGCTTAGGCGCTTAGGAAGCTCGAAATGACTGATCTGCCAAAGCCACTGCTAGATGTGGGTTAAATTGAATTGCATTTCTGACCCGTATCACCCATGAGGATGCTCGGTCGTGCTCACGACGCCGGCGGGCAAAAGGTACATATGCACTCACTAGTCTAAGCTATGTGCACGCGGGAAAAACCTGAGGAAGGAAAACCGGCGCGTATCCGTGAGATAGATGAGTGCTGTTGGAAAAAGGAGAGAAGTAGGGAAAGAAAAAGAGAATGAGTTAAGAGGAGCGAGTGTGAGGTATGTGGATGTCCAAACTAGACAGTTCCGATTCTGATCCTTCGTTGTTAGAGGTGCGCATTGATCGAGATCGTAAGGTCATGCGTAAGGGAGAGTTGGGAGGGCGTTGTGAAGCATATTATCAGCATACCAAACCACCCACCCCACCTTCCCTAGTGTTACATAACCTCTAGGTGCCCACATTACATCCTCGCGGGCACATAAAGCCAACCAGGGGCTAAGATGAGTGGATCAACCACCCAACCGGTCAATCGCCCTGACGTCTGCCCCTCATCCTTCGGCCCATAGCCCTCAGTCCTAGTAACATATCCGAAGCCACTCATCCAATCCATAAGTGCTTCTCATCAATTGCTTGCTAGCGTTGAGAGATGCTCACTTGAATTGCATTTTTTGCAAACCTTGGCCAATGACCGCATTGGTTGATGAAATTGACTCGCCCCCTGCTGCCCCTCTGGGGTTCAGCGATCATACTTTCAAGTCAAAGAGTGGCATCGACCTAGCCATTCGTATATGGCCTGCGGAAACACCCATCACAGCACCTGCACCCTTCGTATTATGGTAAGTTTATCTACATGTACTAGTAAAGGGACTGGAACCAGGATGTATGCTCGCATCTTGCAAGTAGGGAACTGATTCACTGCTAGATGCACCTGATGCGGCAATATCTTCAGCAGCGAATGAAAGAGAAGGCTAATTTTAGCTTTGCGCCTTGTCAACCAGGACACATGGTGGAGGATGGTTCGGCGGTTTTCGTATGTCCAAGCGCTTCTCCCTTCTGAAACTGTGAATTTTGTAGTATGAATCCGGGTCACAGAGAAATACTCTAACTAGAGATTCACTCAGACTTCGCCCCCCTACCATGGATGTCGCCCGCATTTCGGCAGCGAGGCTACCACTTGGTCTCACACAACTATCGCCTCGCACCACAGGCTAGGCTAGATGACCAGCTTGCTGACTGCCTGGAAGCCGTTGCTTGGTGCCGGGAGAATCTTCCATCCATCCTAGGTTCCAATGCAGTTGATGTCGACCGCTATGTTTTGTGTGGAGAGTCAGCCGGCGGCCATCTCGTCACTCTCATGGGCACCCACCTTTTCGATCCTCCCCCGCGGGCCATCATCGACGTCTATGGCGTGGTAGATTTCCTCACTTTATCTGCTTTCGATCCAGATCCAACCAAACGACCTAACAGGTCGCAACAAGGTCCCTGGACCGGCAAGTTTTCCGAAGACGTACTCAACAGTCTTCTGCGGGATCGTAATCCAGCTAACATACTGACTGATGCTATGCCATGGAATGAGTTCGAGCGCTTTACGGACACTCAGCTGAGCGAGCGCTGGGCTACCGACTTCCGCTACACCGACAGGGTGTTAATGCAGGCCGAATTACACATGATGCATGCACTGGGTGTATCTGCCGACGGCCTTCGTGTTGGTGTCATGCACAGTGAAAAGTTTACCAGTGAGGAGGAGTTAGTAGCCTTTGCCAGCTCTATGTCACCACTGAGAATTCTACAGAGCAGATTTGAACAAGGGCAAAGGGGACACGAACTGTACCCTCCCACGGCATTCCTCCACGGAACTGGTGACGAGTCTGTTCCAGTTGAACAGAGCTATGCCATGGCAAAGTTGCTCAGAGAAGCTGGTGTTCCAGTTGTCGAGTGTTATGAAGAAGGAGAGCCCCATGTCTTTGACAAGAAGTACACGGTAAGTCTAGCCTCCCCACGTCGTTCTGGTTAGAGCAAGATGGTTTAGGCTAACAAGAGCATCAAGGGTCCTAATGTCCGAGGATGGGAGACCTATATCCAACCGATCCTCGATTTCATTGATAAGCATACCGGATATCATCGCGATTAGAGACGTGAATGTTAGCTAGCGGCATAACATGGGACATGCGAGATTGAACGTACAACTCAAGACCTTTCTCTGAGACCCTCCCTCCTTGGTGATGACATGACCCAGTATCATATTCTGGGCTGTGGTGATTCTAGAGTTTAGAGATCAGCAGGGTCTTCCTCCTAAATCCCGGGGTACAGTATACTTGCACATGGTCTTTCCGCTTTACCTGGATTCTTGTCCACACCAGCCTTCATACTTCTGCTAGAGATTCAGTCTTGGCATGCCTAGGTCACAGGTCAGCTTTTCCGGCTCTGCGTTTGACACAAGAGCCGTGCCTGAGCATCCTAGGTACCACTATGATACCATCCACAAAAAGTCAGGCCGCAATTGGATTTCAGGGTTGGCCCTGCCCCGCGCTACTTGCGTTACAATGACCCAACCTCCAATCCATTCACTTCTCGACACAGGTCGGAGAAATACTACATTAAAAGCTCACCCACCCCACAGAAGATTTACCCGGTCCAGCCTACTGCCGGGCTTTGTGCAGCGTCTTGGTCAAAGAAAGCTTCCAGCCACTGAGCAAACATCTTCTTCTAGCATTAACTGCCTCTTTTAGGACGGAGATTCAATGACTATCCGATTACAGTTACGCTAATCCCTGGTTTCTGGAATCGTACAAGCAACAACCGAAGTCATTGATACCCTGCCATTGTCCATTAGGCCGATACTACAACATACTGTTACGTTCTCCGCACCATGGAAACAGATCATGAGATGACAATGTTGACCCGCAGCATCATTTCACAACAGCTCTTGAGAAACCGCCGTGCGAGAATAAGCCAGACATTTGAATAGCTAGTGTCTGATATACTCTGACTGGTTTTTGATGTGTCAACCTTGATCAAGCTATGTAAATATGTGCACTAGGTTCTGTTAATCGGACTGAATATCTCGAAGAATAATCCTGGGGCCCTTCTCTGGGCTCACTTCTAAACCCTCCGAGTCGATAGAATTCGGGGAGAAACAGCAGGAAGTATTATAGTTTCCCTCCCTGGAAATTCTAGAAAATCACCCGGACCCATGTCGCGGCAACGTTGATGTTCGCCGGCGCTAGCCTAGTGTACATTCACGAGGAGGTTGGCGAATGGCATCTCGACGGTAAAATCAAGCACGGAACACATGGTCCGGAATATAACGAACTGACTTTGGCTAGTCGCCCCAACCCGGTATGCTGTATAGTCTGGTGAGGTGTAGGAAGAGAAAGTAACGTGAAGAAACAGAAACATGAAGCGTGGTTTATAGGATATCGGTAGAGGTGACTTCGGATCATAGTGAAACCAGGCTGCGTTCATCTTGGCGCTTCCTGAGGCTCAGGATCGAACCCTCAAACAGCAGTCGGCCCATTCAGGCTAAATCCCTACCCTGATGCGGCGTGGTAAAGGTACCGTCGCGTAATATACACGTGAACGCATTTTGCAACACTATTCCTACTCAGGATGGCAGCATGAAAACGGTAAACAGTCTCGCAACCCAAACATCTGGATCCCAAAACGGCAGCATGTGAAGGAGCAAAAAATGGAGTGCTTGGAAACAGCTGCAAGAAGGAATGGATGGACAAACAGGTAAGCGAATTGAAGGACTGATACCAGCACGGATATCCGGCTATGCCTGGCTACAAACTCTCATAGAGCATCAAGAGAAGCAGCTATATAGAGTTATATGGTCCCCCTTAGTTGTCACCGACGAGTTGATCTAACTCAAGCGGCAAGCTAAACTCAACGGCAGTCTGATCATTATCACCACCCGTTCCAGCAGACAATGTTGTCCTCAGTAGCTGCTTCTTCTCTTCTTTTTCTCCTTGGCGCCGCCAGTGTCAATGCTCAGAGACAAAGCCTTTGGGGCCAGTGTGGTGGAATTGGCTGGACCGGTCCGACCCAGTGCGTCGACGGTGCCTACTGCTCCCAGCTGAATCCGTGGTATTATCAGTGTCTCCCTGGCGGCGGGCCGTCCACGTCGTCGACGCCCACGACCACCAGCCAAACCGCGCAGCAACCCACGACTCTCAGCACCTCAATCGTCCCCACGACTACGACCTCAGGTCCGACCACTACTTCGGCTGCTCCCGGCGGTGGCAGCACCTCGTGCCCTGCCATCCCCAACGGCCTGGGTAGCCCGGTCTCTAACCAGCTGAACGACCCCTTCACTTTCCACGGAGGCAGCAAGGTCACCAGCAAGGCCGACTGGACATGCCGTCAACGCGAGATCAGCGAGCTCTTGCAGCGCTATGAGCTGGGCACCCTCCCGCCCAAGCCCCAGTCGGTGACTGCCAGCTTTTCTGGCAGCACCCTGAGCATCACTGTCACGGACAATGGCAAGTCCATCTCTTTCTCTGTCAGCATCAGCAACCGGCCCGCCGGCGGTGGTCCTCACCCAGCTATCATCACCTTTGGCTCGTTTGCCAGCATCCCTATTCCTTCTGGTGTGGCCACCATCAGTTTCAACAACGACGAGATTGCCCAGCAGCAAGGCGGCTCCTCGAGAGGTCGCGGCAAGTTCTACGATCTGTATGGCAGCAGCCACTCCGCTGGTGCTTTGATGGCTTGGGCCTGGGGCGTTTCCCGCATCATTGATGCCCTAGAGCTCACCCAGGCCCAGACCAACATCGATCCGACTCGCATCGGTGTCACGGGCTGCTCGAGGAATGGCAAGGGCGCCATGGTCGCTGGTGCTTTCGAGCCACGCATTGCCCTCACCCTGCCTCAGGAGTCGGGCGCCGGTGGCTCTGGATGCTGGCGTATCGCCAACTGGCAGAAGAATCGCGGTGAGAATGTCCAGACCTCAACGCAGATCGTCCAGGAGAACGTCTGGTTCTCTCCCAACTTTAACAATTACGTTAACAACGTCGATGCCCTTCCCTTCGATCATCACCTGCTCGCCGGTCTTATTGCTCCTCGCGCTCTCTACGTCATGGAGAACGTCGACATGGAGTGGCTTGGCAAGGTGTCAACCTACGGCTGCATGGGCATTGCTCGGAAACAGTGGCAGGCTCTTGGCTCTCTTGATACCTTCGGCTACTCACAAGTTGGCGGTAACTCCCATTGCAGCTTCCCCAGCTCGCAGCAGGGCAGCGAGCTCAATGCTTTCATCGGCAAGTTCCTACTCAAGAATCCCAACGCCGGCAACACCAATATCTTCCGCACTACCGGAAACCATAACTTCAACCTCGACTCATGGAGCCCATGGGCTGTTCCGACTCTGTCTTGAACTGGATAACAAAAAAAGATGTGGTTGAAGCGATGAGAATGGTGATGTAAACAAACTGTTTCATGTATATAGCCGCGATGGGTTCTTTTACCCCTCTGTGAACATACCTTTGTGCCTCTCTGCCTCTACATTACTTGGAAAAGTGAAGTGAATTGAAAAGTTCGGTAGCAGATTCGGTAAGCTGGGCTCGTACATCACACACAAGAAGTGAAACATTCAATGGGTTCAAATTCAAAACCCTTGAATCTTGATCTGGGTTTGTGGGAGAGTCAAGTTGCGTGTATTTAAGCTTCTGCCCCAATCACGAGTCATTTGCTTCAAGAGTGCCTTATCTGAGAGCAAGTACTGTTCGTATTGCTATGTATCAGGCAAGGCTATTCAGTTGCAGGTAAAACTCGCAAGACGCTCAGCAATAAATGGACTCGAGATATAACGGTGAATTAGCGCTTGGCTTCCTCAACTCCATCACAGAGAAACTGCTGCTCTCTGAAGCCGTCATTCTAAATACCCACTCAGATATTCGCTTCCGCTTTCGCGCGGATGGTGGCCGGTTAGCGAAATCCCAAAGCTGACTATTGCAGCGGCTGCAACGACACATCATGGACGAACAAGAGCCCAGGAGATCTCGTATAAAATCTTAATGTTAACCCCACAGTCTTTTGTTTTCGACATCCACGAAATACAGGGGTTTTTAGATGTCGTGATTGGCACCCTTGCACGGCAGCGGCTCTACCTGCGACGACGGGTGTAGCATGGCGTGGGGGAGCCAATGACGCGAACTTGAGCCTCAATGTCGCCATTCCATGGGCCGATGTTCTCATCATCATTTGTAAATTGTAACTACTGCAACTACTAGGGGGCTTGTTTTGTGACTAAGAAGCTATACAAGCTCTTCTAGATGGAAATTGTCCATGGAGGGGCAAAGTGTATGTTGCCGGGACGAGATAATCTATAAAGTACCCAACAAACCCTACAAACAACAGGTGGCTCTCGTCATGTCCACAGCGAGCTATTCCTGAGACAACATCTGCCTAAGACTTACTGGAACCTCAATCCTCAAGTTCCATCCATTTTGGGCTCCGGATTTTGATCTTTGCCACCATGACCTTTGAATCAAATCTCGAGAACAAAGTGCCAGTTGGCACACATCGAAAATCGAAGGGGCGGCCAGACTACCCCGAAGAGTATGTGGTGCGCACAAAGCCACATGTGGACTCGAAAGTGCGGTCTTCCTCTAGCTCTGAGGTTGGGATAACCGGCATCATGACACAAAGTTATGAGAAAGCGCTGCTTCGTAAAATCGACTGGCGACTCTTACCTGCTGTGGGCATTCTATATCTGCTTTCGTTTTTAGACCGCAGCAATGTCGGCAATGCCCGTATCGAGGGCTTGGCCGAGGACATCGACATGACGGGCAATCAGTACTTGACGGGTCTCACCCTTTACTTTGTAGGATATGTCCTCTTTGAGGTAAGAACTGACCTGGAACACAGTCATGACTGTAGTTTAGCGAGGTTAACGGGCTCAGGTCCCTTGTAACATCATTTTGAGGCGCACAACTCCCCGGCTTTGGCTACCAACTTTGACGATCCTTTGGGGTATCGTAGCTACTTTGATGGGGCTTGTCGAGAACATTGCGGGTTTCTTTGTCGCTCGCTTCTTCTTAGGTGTGACGGAATCTGGCCTATTTCCGGGCGTCGTCTACTACTTTTCGATGTGGTATAAGAGAAGGGAGAGGCAGTTCCGCATTTCATTGTTCTTTGGAGCTGCCGCCCTGGCAGGATCGTTTGGTGGAATTCTGGCATATGTGAGTCTCACTGTAGAGTGTCAAGAATACGGCTGCTTGTTTATCGTCAACCACTGACATCTTATTTTTCTTTCAGGGTATTGGGCACATGGCCGGAGTGGTATGGGAGAATGGATGGCGCTGGATCTTTATCTTGGTATGTAGTCAACTGAGCCGCATATTTTTCTCCCACATGATCGCTGGAGTTCATTTTAACAAGCTTCTTTTCATGGCTCCATCATTAGGAAGGCATTGCTACGGTGATAATAGCTGTTGCTGCATACTGGTTCATTTATAACTACCCTGACACGGCCGAGTTTCTCACCGATGAGGAGCGCAAGTTCATCCACAACCGCCTGACTGCTGATAGCGATGCAACTCACGATGAGCGCTTTACCTGGGGCAATGTAATCAAGGCACTACGTGATCCCAAGTGTTGGCTGTATGGCATGAGTTTCCATACCACCAGCTTACCGCTGTATACCTTCTCATTGTTTTTGGTACGTCTTCCTTTGATCTAGAACCTGAATAGAGGGCAATTTGATGAAAACTGCGGATAATGGCTGACCGAGTTGCCCACAGCCCACGATTATCAAGGATCTTGGATTCAAAGCAGCGATTGCGCAACTTCTCACGGTCCCCCCGTATGCTTTTGCGTTCCTGACAACGTTAGGGGTAGCAACAGTGTCGGAGAGGATAGAAAAACGGGCAATCCCGCTGATCGCTTCAGCACTGTTTGCCATCATCGGGTACATCATTCTCTTGTCCAATCCGGATCCTGCGGGCAGACCTGGTATCTCTTATCTTGGGACATTCTTCGCTGCTGGCGGGATCTACCCAGCAACAGCGTTGGCTTTGTCATGGCCGGCCATCAATGTCTCAGGGCAGACTAAGAGGGCGGTTGCCAATGCAATGCAAATCAGCATTGGGAACCTCGGCGCTGTTCTTGGGACACAGCTTTATCGCGCTAATGATGGACCGCGTTATATTGTCGGCCATAGTTTTGCCCTGGGTTATCTGGTGGGAAATATCGTCGTCTCGTCAATCCTTTACTCACTGCTGAAGAGTGAGAATCAACGCCGTGATCAGATAGCTCCGGAGGTAAAAGAGGTGGGTGAGTTGGTAGACTGGCAGGGTGATGATGATCCTCGCTGGAGATTCAAATTTTAAGTATGTGTGGAAGCTGAGCATTGTCCATGATTTTAGTCCGTGGTATAATGAGCTCCTTCAAAGCAGGTAGACTTTAGGTAGCGCAGGAAAAACGAGGTTGGCTGCAGAAAACTTCCAAAAGAGATACATTGGAATCGTAGTAAAACGACCTTCCCATATATTTCCAGAGCAGCCACTCAGTGATATCATGGCTGCATCAACTCTAGAATACCTAGAAATTGAGGCTTCATTTTGGAGGACCTGCATCGCTATATATACCAAGAGAAGAACTCGTGTACACTCATATAAGTCCTGTGCAGAGGTAGCCAAATGGTTGCAGTAAGCTCGATTACTCTACCTTATAGCTGGATAGGTAGGCAGTCTTCTGCCTCTTCATTCATTACCGGCTGTTAAGTATGATATGACTTGTGCCTGGATTGGGTGGTATCTTATGCTCCCAAGTGCCGCGATGGACCTGACGTCGCGGTATGCATACCATGCCCCTTTTCTCATCCATGGTGCCTAACCGTTTCTTGACGCGCGGCAAAGGTGCGGGCCCAGCTGCCCCTCAGCAAATCGAATTGAAGATCAGAGACATCATACAACGTAGCCATCCCTGAATCCTGCGCGCAGGAGCCAGCGAAGCGCACAAGGCTCCAGGGCTGTTGTTCAGGAAAAGACACCCTATAAAGCTGAGACATCTTTTTCACTCAAGCTGATCTCACGAATAGCAATTGGAGGTTGGCAATGCTCTTCTGCTACCTTTATCCATCCCTTCCTGATCTCCACAGGGCATGGTACTTCGCCGGCCCTGATTCAACGTTACCCTCAAGAGCACCGAATTCCCGAACGATGTGCATACGCCGGAGCACTGTCTCGTACCCATGCCAGAATGCAGGGTGTGTTTCAGAGGGCAGAATCTAGAACGCCCAGAAGCCTCTTGGCACCTGGCCCCAATCGTATGCCTGACCACGGCCGTTAATGTTTCTCTTTATGGATATGTAGCTGCATGTAATTCTGGTAGGTGCCTGAGAGTCCCAGTCACCTTTTCCACAGTTGAGATTGAAGGGGCCTAGCTAAGGAGAATTTTGTGCGCGATAGGCGACGCCGCAGACAAACATAGAAATAAATAGGCAATCCGACCCGGCCCAACCTTCACCCATCACCTATTTTTCTTTACGTCTTCCCTACGCTCTTTGTCATTAAGTTGCTTTGCGTCCGGGTCGTTCTGCTCCTCGTTCTTTTGGTGTTTCGTTCGCTCCTTTCTTAGAGTTAGGTTCTTCATCGCCTTATCCCAACGTGAGTTGGGTTTGTGTTACTCCGTTGTCCTTTCTTGTATGACCCGGCGGGGTTGAGCCGAGTCGAAACTTGAGAGATTTGTTCTTTGTGCCTTTGAGTCCTTATAATCATTCCTTGCGCCGAGTTTAGCTTGCTTTCTCGAAGGAACAAAATGGCCGACGACGGCGCTGGAGGAGCCCCCGCTGCTGCTTCAGGAGCTCCGGCAGTCTCAGGTGGTGGTGGTCCGGGAGAACCAGTTCCAGTTCCCGCTCATGGCGCACACGCTGGGCACCAATCAACTGCTCACACTACGAACGGTCCGGCGATTGAGGAGATTGCCTCTCTTACATCACCTCGCCTCTTTACACCCAATCCTTTCAGTAGGAAGGATAGCTCACTGGATATCGATGACTATTTTGTATTTATTACTAAATCAGCCCCCCTTAGATTCGCTTTCTGTCAGGAGCTTCCGTACTGACTCGGTTCACAGATGGGACCTCGTGATATCCAGAAGCATTCGAAATGGCCCATCTTTCTTCAGATGCATGGCAGTATCCTGCCGAAGATGATACTGCCTCTGTTGGCTGTCGGCTCATGGGCCACTGTGATCACTGTTATCCATAATAAGGTGACAAAACGTACAATTCTCCTTTAATACTTCAGCACTCTGAGACAGACATGGATCTTGCTAATGTGGAATTGAACATTGAAAAGTCGCCATCAGCAGCATCCTCCTTACCATCCTTGGTTTTGTTGTTGGTCTTGGTCTTTCCTTCCGCAGTGCTACCGCGTATGAACGTTATGCGGAAGGGAGGAGATATTGGGCACAGTTAATCCTGGCAAGCCAGAGCCTCGGACGTGTTTTCTGGATTCATGCGACAGAAAGGAAAGACATCCCCGAAGACAGGCAAGAAGAATTTAGAAAGAGGGACGTCCTTGAGAGACTGTAAGTAAAATGTTCAAGTTATTTATCTTCCCGTCCCTTTACCATTTCTCTTCACCCCAAGTCTCTCTCGTCCTTCCCCCTTGCTACTGCCTTAAACCAGCAACCTCAATGCTAACCCAAACGATTTATTTAAATCCTCAGGACTGCAATGAACCTTGTTGTTGCCTTCGCAGTTGCGCTCAAACACAGGCTTCGATTTGAACCCTACACCAATTATGAGGATATTTCAAGTCTTGTTTCGCATCTCGACACGTTTGCACGCGTAGCAACGCAGGGTGACCCCCTTAGTGCTCGCAAGACTCTCAGGAGGAACGGGTTCTTCAAAAGCGTGGGTGAATATCTTGGCGTGTCGTTCGCAGAGAGCAATCCGCGCAAGGCTATTAAGAAAGCCAATCTTCCTCTGGGGAACTTGCCGCTCGAGATCTTGTCGTATCTGGCTAGTTATACAGATGAACTTGCCCTCTCTGGTCGCCTGCCTGTCACGATGCACCAGACAACCGCATACAATAACATTTCGACACTGAATGACGTGCTCGTGGGAACGGAACGCGTCCTCAACACCCCGCTCCCCATTGCGTACTCGATCGCGATTGCACAGATAACATGGGTGTATGTGCTTGTGCTTCCCTTCCAACTGCTATCGACACTTGATGGCTGGCTCACAATACCTGCCACTGTCGTGGCGGCCTACATCATCCTGGGTATTCTTTTTATCGGGCGAGAAATCGAAAACCCTTTTGGGCAAGATGTCAACGACTTGCACCTCGAGGCGTTCTGTGCGCAGATCGCAGCTGAGATGGACATCATTGCTAGCCGGCCTAAGCCACAGAGTAGCGAATGGATGGAGTCGAACGAGAATCGCGTCCTCTGGCCTCTATCGAACTCTGGCTGGAACGTATGGATGACACGAGGGGAGAACCATATCCGCGAGGCAATTCTCCACAAGGTCCAGTCCACCTTTATGAGCCAAAAGAAGAGGGAAGCTGAAGCCGAAGGACGTCCCTTCGCAGCAGCAGATAAAGTAACTTTTTCGAGGTCGTCAGAAGAAGTCTGAGTTGGGTCCACTCAAGTCCACAGCTCCGTGAGCAACTTAAGTATAGGTAGGGCAAGGCAGACTAAGCATGGGAGTCCCGTAGGGAGATGCCCGAGGGCAACTGGTACATGTATGGAGAAGCGAACAAGACGCTGAGGTGATGGAAACTGCTATCTAGATAGAACAGTTGTCATATGATGGATATGAAAGTATATCCAATTGAACCTCGAAGAAGGGTAAGAGCCGAACTGGCGGCAGATAATTACCAGCTTGAAGAGCAGAGTATTGACGAAAAAAGAGCATCGGTGAAGTGTGTACGTGTGGTTCCTGTTATCATTGTCGTTATCGCTTATGGATATTATCGCTGTTGGCTATCAGCGTGCTGACGGTTCATCTCCCGCGCTGGGTGGGGCCCACCCTCCATCCTCCAGGATCCTGCCACCGCAGGTCCAACGTCAGACGCGGCAGGGACACCAGCGCTTTTCGCACCTTAACACGTAACATCCTGTGTTTATCGCCTCTCGTCCACTCCTCGTGCCTCGTTGCGCTTCTGCGCGCCGGAGTATCACCATGCTATCGGGAATACTTATCTTCAATCAAAAGGGCGAGAACCTGATCTTCAGGGCTTTCCGCAATGACTGCCGACCGCGACTTGCCGACGTCTTTCGCATCCAAGTCATCAGCAATCCTCAAGTTCGGTCGCCCATTCTCACCCTAGGCAGTACCACATTCAGCCATGTTAAGCATGAAAATATCTACCTTGTCGCAATTACAAAGAGCAATGCCAATGCTGCCCTCGTTTTTGAGTTCTTGTACCGCTTGATCCAGCTCGGCAGAAGCTATTTTGGCAAATTCGATGAAGAAGCTGTTAAGAACAACTTCGTACTCGTTTACGAGCTTCTCGACGGTAAGCTGCTCTCTTGCTTTCAACCAACTAGCACTCGCTGACGCGTTTGCGATGTTGTTAGAAATCATCGACTTTGGCTACCCCCAGAACACCGAGACCGATACCCTCAAGATGTACATCACGACCGAAGGCGTCAAGTCTGAGCGTGCTGTCGAAGATTCGGCCAAGATCACAATGCAGGCTACAGGCGCAATATCATGGAGGAAGGCCGACGTCAAGTACCGCAAGAATGAAGCCTTCGTAGATGTGATCGAAGATGTCAACCTGCTCATGAGTGCGACCGGTGCGGTGTTACGTGCCGATGTCACTGGACAAATTATCATGCGTGCCTACCTGAGCGGCACCCCCGAGTGCAAGTTTGGCCTGAACGACCGCCTACTCCTCGATAACGACTCGAATCTCCCGAGCGGGAACAAAATGGGTAGTAAAGCGACAAAGGCTGCTGCCGGAAGTGTCACTCTCGAGGACTGCCAGTTTCACCAATGCGTCAAACTTGGAAAGTTTGACAGTGACCGCATCATCAGCTTCATTCCTCCTGATGGCGAGTTCGAGCTGATGCGCTATCGTGCCACCGAAAATGTCAACCTCCCCTTCAAGGTACATGCTATTGTCAATGAGGTTGGCAAGACCAAGGTTGAATACAGCATCGGCATCCGGTCGAACTTTGGTGCAAAGTTATTCGCGACAAATGTCGTTGTTCGAATCCCTACGCCGCTTAACACGGCTAGAATCACAGAACGCTGCACGCAGGGCAAAGCCAAATACGAACCATCTGAAAACAACATTGTCTGGAAGATTGGCCGCTTCAGTGGCCAATGCGAATATGTTCTGAGCGCAGAGGCAGAGTTGACTAGCATGACGAACCAAAAAGCTTGGAGCCGACCCCCGCTGAGTTTGAACTTTAGCTTGTTAATGTTTACAAGCTCAGGATTGCTTGTTAGGTACTTGAAGGTATTTGAAAAGAGCAACTACTCAAGTGTAAAATGGGTGAGATACATGACACGAGCAGGAAGCTATGAAATTAGGTATGTTATATTTTCTCTTGTCTTTTTCAAAATTCAAGACACTAATTGATCTTTAGATTCTGAAGTCGCGTTACGCTAGAGTGAAGTTAATGGAATTAATATATTGCATAGCAGAGGCGTTACGGCGTTTGAGAGAAAGAGTATGTTAGGAGTATATAGCTAGACTTTAATAATAATATACGTAACATTACCTCCAGAGAATACTGGCAGTGTCGCGAGCAAAAATGACTCTATCTGGGAGAGTAGCTTCCGTGCAACTCACTGATCGGAGTAGAAGGGAGTTGTGACCCATCAAAATTCGGATATCCGCCCCTAACAACTGAACATTGGGAGAGTGTTCCTCAGCGCCCAAGGATGTTGACTCTCAACAGTCTGTGTTGAAGAAGGAAGGGAAGCCACAAGTGTGCATGGGATGTATATAGATTCCAAACAGGGCCATCTGGCCCAAGAAACTCTCCAGTCAGCAATACAAACAGTTGCTTACCGATTGGTGACCACAACGGCCACTTTGGTTGTGTGAGAACTCCCCCTGTCTCTCAATCCAGCAGCTTGGCATCTCTCGAACCCATCTCAGAAGGTCTGTTTGGATCGTTACATAAGAGCATAAAGAACATACCCTTATGAGCGGGATAGGTTATAAGAGGCTACTGAAAAGCTTTCATGCAACAATCCACCTTACCTTTTCTGAGACGGGTTCGGCTATGCAAGGCTTGATGTTAATTATGACATTTCCACAAGAAGAACGGGGAGAGAGGTAGGAATTTATAACATAGCTTAGATAATAGTTAGGGTTTCGGACAAAAAAAGCTGAGGAGAATATCGGATTTTAAGTGCATCAAGAGATTACTTCCCAAAACCTAAAATGGTAAATATGAGATGAACGAAATATCTCCTAGGCCGGAATTGCAACCCTTCCTTAGATGAGGATTAGTTTGGTTCATGGCTTATGAATCTTAGAGGACGTTCTCACACCGATTCAGCAGCAGTTTGGGCATCTGTTTGAATTGCTGACTGGGGAGTTCTTTGTTCCCCTTCCCGCTGTGAGAAATTCATCTACTCAATGCACTCAGAATTTTCCTTGTCTCTGTCACCAAGGATCCTAAGTCCATTGTCAGTGATTCTAGCTCTCAGGAGCATTCATCAGAAACCTCTTGCTTCCTGTTACCGCTCCCAACCTCTCATGAGCCGCTTTGTTATAGGTCCTTCGTATTTCACCCCACTCTTCCCTCTGATACTCACTATTGGGCGTAAAAATATTCAAATTTAGTGACATAATAATAATTGCTAGCTTTATAGCTAGTGTAGACTTCGATGATCCAGGTAGAAAATTTCTTGATATAACCTCTTAAGGTTTGTAGGTGTTACGGCTGGTAACAAGGTTAGCTGCTGCCCCACAGACGGCGTAGGAGGCGACTAATAGGAAGGCCCAGAGAGGGGACAAAGGGGGATAGATCAGGAGAAGCACAAGTATCGTAATTCTCATCGCGATACAGTGCGATAACAGCGAGAAACTTATCAACAATACCAAAATAAGTAATGGCAGCCGACAGGCAAATTGACGGTTCCGAATATACATATGTATAGAAGCTCCGATTCTCAGAGCCAAGGCGAAAACTCTTCAGTCAGCAATAGAAACAGGTTGTTAACCAAGAACTGGTGACCGCACTCGACTCCATACTCTACGGTGTACGGAACCTGGTCCCTTAAGTTCTACAAGCCGGCCACTACATTCGAACCCTACCTCAGGAGGTTATGGAATCGCCACACTAGGCATGGAATTGTCGATCTTTACTGGAATTGACGTATTGATTAAGGACCAACATATCTTTAGATCAAGTTATGACAACAACCACTATCAGTATTATGTCACCAATGACTAATGTTCCTTAATGAGGAAGTTTGCAGAGCCGGAAAAACAAAACCACTTATCACAATAGTCTTCGAACTCGACTCCCTCCACCTCGCACTCACCTGGTCTTTGGCCTCGATCAACCCCAATTTCCCCGCTTGGACCAGCTGGACCAGCGGGCACAGGCTACGCGCGGGTTTTTCCCCACAAAGGGTTTTCCCCCGCGCAATGTACTTAGCAACCTCTTGGCCGCTGTCGCCGTGGGCACGACCCGAGTACCTAGATATGGTAGATAGTGGTCGAAAAAATATACATAGATACATACATACATATATACATACTTCGACCAGGTCTTTTTAAGTTGATACTAGTTGTAACATCTCGCAACGTCAGTTCTTGTTTTTGTAGGATTTAAAACAAATAGAGCTATACGTGGCGTCAAACTACAACTTTGGGTTTTGTTATCGCTCTATTATGCAACAAAAGCTGATAAAAAAGTAGTTGTTATTGTCTGGGTCAGTAGCACGCTATATATACTAGTCAGCAACTAGTGATAGGCAACAGATTCTACAAATGTTTAGAATCTACCCTTTTTATAAGTATCATCATACTCTAAACGTGGCCTAGGGTTTTAGTTAGAGATCTATTTCTCAAGCTAGCTATGAAAAATATACTATATTGTCATACGACAAACTTGTACAGAATATACTTCTGTAATAAGTAAATATCCGCGTATTATGCTAGCATCTCATAGTTGAAGCGTTAATGATTCTAGTTTCCGGCCGCGTTCTACCCAGACGGGTACTGGGCTGTGCCCGCCGTCGCCGTGGGCACAGCTATCCTAGTAATAACTACTTGCAATTAACCCTTGTGTGCGAGGAAGCGTTAATGTGTTATCAGGGCTTCGTTCATTGTTACCTCATAGTAAATAATCTTTTTACATGTCAGTCTGTTACAGCCCAGGTGCGGACCAGTAGCCGCTTCGCAACAGTGGAGGATGACCATTAAGGTAGCACTGAGCGGAATTTGGAGACGGACCAGTCGCAGGCAAGGAGAGATTGTCGACGCCAAGAACCACCAATCGATCTCTACCCTCGACGATAATAGTGAACTTGGTTTGACGATAGTCTGAAAGGCAGGGCAGGCATGCCATGACTCTCGAATATATATATGTATATAGAGTCGTCCATCCCCAGAAACCATGATGAGGACTCCTTAGTCAGCAATAGAAAGTTGGCCCAACACAACTGGTGACCGCTGTAAACATTCTCGCTGTTGTGTGAGGACCCTAATCCCTCTGGTTCTACACCTGGTTACTACCTTCGAACCCACTGATTGATTCTATTTTTCGGCCACGTTCCACCCTAGTGGGGTACTGGGCCGTGCCCACGACGCCGGCGGGCATAGTTATACTATACTATCTATAGCTACTTACAACTTATAAAGTCCTGCATAAGGGAAAGCCTAATGGCAAAAACCCGCGCGTGGTTTAAAGGAAAGAAAAACGCATATTCTTTACAAAGTATAAAGAAAGAAGGAGAAGTTACCCATTGGGGAAAGCCTGTGGGAAAATAATCTCAAGTAGGTCTACCTCCTCATCTACGTCTTCTTTGGCGGCATGTGAGGAAAAGCGAGGCGGAACTGGGTGGATGGAAATTGGTTCTAGTGTCAGCGGGTCGAGGATCTCCCCATATTGACGAAACTCGTTGACCCGTCTTAGCTATAAGTTGGCATCTCTTGAACCCATCTCAGGAGGGGTGTTTGAATCGTTACAGTCATGGTCAACAGAATGAGGGAGGCCTTGCCAAGAAAAGCTGGACGGGAGATGCCGAAAAGACAGATTAAATCAAGTCATTGTCACTGCCAAGACCAAGATATCACGGCTTAATTCTCCGGTGTCATCCGTGATACTCCAGATGACAGAAATCGTTCTGAAAAAGACCCTCAGACATATATATATAAAACCTAGCTAGCCGCTGGTTAGGGGGAGCTCCTCAGTCAGCATTAGAAACAGTTGGCAACAACTGGTGATGTCACTAATAATAGAATGTATCAAGCGTGACAAGGGGGTTTGACGAAAGGCTGTCAGAGCTGAGAATCACAGATGAAAGATCGTTAGAACTTAAGCGTTAGCAGTGAAAGATCAAAGCTGAGAACGCTCGGAAGATTGAAGTGTTTGGTTGCATTGCTGGCTGGGAAGTTCTTTTGCCCCCACCGACGGTCTTCAACCAAGTAGTCGTTAACCGTTTTCACCATGTTCAATTGCTATTTACTGTTAACTATAATATTTATGTCTTCTTCAAAGGATTCAGATTAATTGAAGATCATTATAGTAACAATAAACTTGTAATTCCGTTAAGTCGTCAAATTAAGTATGATAGCGATTAAGCAGGATTCGCACCTATGCTACAAACTGGCCGATGATTACTGTATAATACTTTTATTTTTTTCTGCTAACATTCAGGACTAATAAGTACGTATAAAGACACAAATACTAGGTATACTTTATTATATTAATAATATTAAATATGTAAGCTCCGCCAGGCTGCGATTAACCGGGGGTTCCTCTAAGATCAAACCTTTTAGTTTAATCTATTCGTTAACCAGCCGGCATCGGGTAATATACATCTCCAATATAAACATAATATTATCTTATAACAGGTTAGAGTCAGATTGGTCACGACGTTGTATTTTGGGTGGAATATCCCAAAATTTTTTAAAATTCGTAATACTCACCACCTATCACCCGTATATTTCCTTCTGAGAGGAATATATCTATTTTTATATACTCAAAACGTTCTTTGTTTCTTCTTCTACCAGTTATCTAAGCCAAATGGTAACCGCGGCGCTTCTGAATTTGTGAGAGAACTTTCGTCTCTCAGATCCATAAGCCTTAAACCAGGCTCAAACCCATCTCAGGAAGGCTAGTTGGATCGTCACAGGTAACTACAGTCGACCACATACTCTACTGTGTGAGGACCACAGTTCCTCGGGTGAGAGATGAAGGCTTTCCAGGGAAGAAGGGAACTGATCGAATTTATGGGAAAAAGGACCGAAGACTCCTTGGAGTTGGCGAAATGTTTATCGGGGACGGTTTGACAGCCTGAAGCTCGTTTCTCGTTCTACAACCTGGACACTACCCTCGAACCCATCTCACGAGGTTGTGGAATCGTCACAAGATTACTGATAATACGATAAAACTAATTAGGATATT